GCCAGATGTGCGCGCTGCACATACTTTCCCCTTTACTTCCCTGCGTCTCCGTTCTGATGAGGTCCACTCTACTGACTGTTCACTTCCTGCTCTGTGTCCGAGGACTCTTTCCTGCCTCCCGCCCCCGCTTCCCCACGTCCCACTTTGAGCTCCGTTCAGCATCCGGCAGGAGAAATCTGTTTTACACCTGTTTGGTGGGAAACACTATCTCCACCTCATTTGATCACCATGACGCGCCCAACAAGACTCAGTCGACCCACATCGAGAGCTTTCTGTTCTGTCCCACTGCCTCACACACCCAGCCACAGGCCAGAGCCACTGTCGCCGCCCAAGCGGCCCATGGCATGTCCTGACTCGGCCTGTGTACGCCTGCCAGCTTGTTCTTTTCCAAAAACCGTTTCTGCTGTCCCAGGTCCTAGACGCTGCGACAGAAACCTGAGGAATCGGCTCACTGATTTCTCCCGGAAACCTGCACGCGCTTGTGGCCAGGGCTGGGAGGGTGCTGAACACCCAGGTCCATGTGAGCAGACCGCCAGCTCGCAGCCCCACACCTCCCACAGACGGCCGTGTCTGCGGCCTGCAGACAGACCATTCCTCGAAGGAGCTCCCTAAACCCCCAGAGCCTGCAGAGCCATCAGTCCTTCGTACGCTGAAGGGTCGGTGACTTGGGCCAGCGCTGTGGTGCAGGTGAGGCCGCCGTCAGCAGTGCTGGCATCCTGTATGGGCGCCGGAGCGAGTCCCAGATGCTGCATCCCCAATCCAGCTCCCTGCTAGTGCAGCTGGCAAACAGAAGACAGCCCACGTGCCCGGACAACTGTACCACGAAGCTCCTGGCTCCGGCCTGGCCCAGCCCTGGCCGCTGCAGCCATTTGGAGACAGAATGGAAGATCTCTCTGTCTCTGTGTAAGTCCGTCTTTCAAACAAATGAACTGGCATCTCACGGGCAGTTTCAAAGCAGGGACACGGCCAGAAAGACCCAGGCAGGATGACGACCCGTGGGCGCAGAGCAAAGCTAAAGGGTCAGTGACGGACTCAACTGTGCCTAACAAGGCCACAAAACCCAGAAGGCTGGGGTTGAGCCCTTCCTCCGCGTCTCCCCGGCACTGCCTCTGTAACGCGTGTGCAGGCACCGCGTGTCCCTGGCGCTAAGCAGACGCCGCACAGCCACGGAACCCAAGGAGGAGGAGCAGACGCCGCTCTGTTGCTGGCCGTCATCGCAAAATAGTACAGGAGGCGACTGGAGACTGCCACCCGGCCCAGGCCCAGCGCCAGGGGTGGTGGGGTCTGCCGCGCCCTCCTGGCAGAAGCACCCCGGGAAGTGCGGTCTCCCCCAAACCTGGCGTCGGCAGAGCTGTGCTGGCTGAGGCCGTGCCAGCAGGCGACAGAAGCTCTTCTCCTCTCACATCTCCTCACTTCTCCCATACTGCAGTCATCGTTAATTTCTCTGGCATCTTGCAGTTTCCGCGGGACCGATCTGAACGTGTCTGTCAAACTGCTGTGCATTCTGGGACTTCCCACTACCACGGTAGGTGGTCATTTACTTCCACTGGTTCGCTGCCGGCATGGAAAGAAACGTGACGCACGTCTGCACACTAGCCTGCCGTGGTCCCGTCCATCTCCAGTACTAGCCGGCTTGTTCACGCCTTGGGGCCGTCTCCACAAACAACGGCCTCCACAGACAGCTTTGCTCCTGCTCTGTCTGCCGACCTCTGCTCCGGCCCTGCCGCCGGCACAGGCCGGGCTTCCTGGGGGTGCACAGCAGCGGAGGCCTCACTCCTGCGGAGCGGAGGCTGTGGGTCTGACCACCAAGGCTGTGGCAGCTGCAGCTCCGCGTGGACGCCTTCCACTTGGCTGAGGAGTCTTCCCTCTCCTGGCTCGCTCTGAACGTTCCATCGCCAAGTGACACACACAGGCTGACACCCTGGCCAATGTCTGCGTGCCAGCGTGGAGCCTTCAGGGCACACCACCGCCCTGGCCTCCCGGACGGGCGCACTAGAACACCGCCTAGGCCCCCAGGACATCGCACTGTGGATATGCCGACGTTCCCAAGTCACCAGGAGCTGCTGGCCCCCAGCATTCTGCAGAAGGGACCTGGACCTGGCTGACTTTGGCAAGAGAAGCGCCTGGCGCTCCTGGGATCACCGCCTCTCAGGCCTCAGCCTCCCAGACGCCTCCCTTACCCAGGTGGTCTTGCCAAGACGACACAGGCACCTCCAAGGGGTCTCCCAGTGCCTCCCTCCCATACTGCCAAGTCACTCCCCAGCACACCTGCACCTGCACAGCCCAGCTCCTCGTGAGCCCCGCCCCCCTCCCAGACTCAGCCCATGCTGCCAGGAAAACCTTCAGATCCACTCTGAATGCCTGGAGAACAGAGATGTCTACACCCTGACTGCAGGCCCAGTGTGCCCCAGCCAACAGGCCCTGCCTCGCCCGGGCCTGCGATCACCAACTACACACTCCGCACTGCCTCTCTCCTGGGCCCTCCAGGCCTGAAGCCTCCCTGCTCCAGCCCCCTGGCCCGTGTGCTGGGCATGTCACGGGTGGCAGAGCCTGTCGGGCTGCACATGTGACCCCGTGTGCTGGACATGTCACGGGTGGCAGAGCCTGTCAGGCTGCACATGTGACCCCGTGTGCTGGACATGTCACGAGTGGCAGAGCCTGTCGGGCTGCACATGTGACCCCGTGTGCTGGGCATGTCACGGGTGGCAGAGCCTGTCGGGTTGCACATGTGACCCCGTGTGCTGGACATGTCACGGGTGGCAGAGCCTGTCAGGCTGCACGTGAGATCCCGTGTGCTGGACCTGTCACGGGTGGCAGAGCCTGTCAGCCTGTAGCTCACGTGACCCCATGTGTGATTCATGTCACGGGTGGCAGAGCCTGTCAGCCTGTAGCTCACGTGACCCCACGTGTGGGATAAGTCACGGGTGGCAGAGCCTGACCAACAAGGCCCCCAACCCCAAAAGGCTTCCCCACACGCTCATGGACTCACCCCACCTACTCACCCGTGCACCTCCCCGGCATCTCAGGGTTCTTCTTGCTGACCAGCAGAGGGACAAAGCCCAGAGCCCTCAGAGAGCCTGGGGCAGCCAGAGCCTGTCCTCCGAGCAGGTCCGCGCCAGTAATACCTGCTCCACGGGCCTAGGGCCCCTCGAGAGCCTGGTCAGGGGCAGGACAGGCAGACCCCTCCCACTCTGTCAGCCAAAACCTTGGCATCCGCAAGGAAGACCCAGAGGCAAGAGCCAGAGGGGCACAAGCCGCTCCCAGCGGGAAGCCAGGATCGCCAAGGGGATGAGCGCCACCTAGTGGTGGCCGCTCCTCAGCACCAGCCGTCTGATGGTGACCAGACCTCACCCTGAAGGCCAGGCAGAGCTCCTGCCATCAGCGAGACCCTGCCGACCACTGCAGGTCCCCAGACGGCTTTCAGAGGGCTCCTAGAATCAGGAGACGCCAGCGTGAGTGTCGAGGTCAGTGTCCCTGTGTCATGTCTGAGCCACGCGTGCCACATCTGCTGGAACAATGGAACAAAGAGCCCGGGCTGCAGCGGGAACCCCAGGGCCTCTCCGTGACTGCACCTGCCTGGTGCTTCCCAGCACCACACCCAGGCCACCAGAAGCTCCACAGGGCACCTCCCGCTGGGAAATCGCAGGAACCGCCCAGAACCTGACCCCCAGCCCACCCAACGACAAAGAAAAGAAAAAGGCAAGCACAGGGAACCGTTACCCACCTCACCGCGGCGCCCAGGACCAGCCCTCGCGCACTGACACTGGGTTGGGCGAGGCCCAGGAATCTGCTTCTTCACCCAACTCCAGTGCCACATGTAGTCTGCGTGCCACGGCAACCACAGGGCACGCGGCGAGGCAGTGGAGGTCACAGGCTGACCCCCAGCCATGTGAGGAGGTGGTGCCAAGGGCACCAAGGCAGCCGGGCACAGGAGACCTGCCCGACAGGGAGGCACCTATCCTGGGCCTCAGGGCCGAGCTAGGGCCGAGGACGGACAGCACCCACCCGGAGGCCCCTCCTCGGCACAGCAGAGCCGCACAGCGACACAGGGACTCCTCGGCGGCTCTGGCCTCTGCTGCACCAGCCGGGCCCCGGGCCTGACACAGTCCCAGCCTGACGTCCCCCCCCTCCAGCCTGGCCACCAGGTACGGACACAGGCGGGACAGACACAACACACTAGCGCCCGGTCACCATGCTCAGGCGGGGAAGAGGGACTGGAGGGCGCAGGCCGCACGGCAGCCCCAGCCCACGATGGCCAGCTGCAGCCGCCAGCCGCCAGCTCCACCACAGGCCCCAGGCACCCTGCACTGCAACAGGCCAGTCGCTCAGGCACACGCCGGCCTCTGGCTCTCTCCCCACGGGAAGTCGGTTGTCTCCCCTGGGAGCAGGAGAGCCTTTTCCAGGAAGTTAATTAGCCCAGAACACAGGAGGACGCACAGCATCAGGCCTGCCGGGGCAGGCCCTCCACGCGCCCAGCGTCGGCAGCAGCGCTTCAAGAGGAAACAGCAGCCCGGCCTGCTTCTGTGATGTGGACAGCAGGAGAGGAGGAAGCGGCATCATCAAGTGACGGCGACCTGAAGCCAAACCACGACCGGCAGGCTGCGACGCCGGCACCGGCACCGGCAGCAGGGAGGACGCCTGGGACTCCAGGTCTCAGAAGCCCACAGGCAGGCGCAGCAGGGCGCTTCACACACCCCAGGCCCCAGGCCCAGCCTCCACACGCAGGCCCCTGCAGAGCCCTGCCCACACTACACACCCGGGCCAGGGGCCCAGCGCCAGGGGTGGGTGCCCAGCAGCTCAGCCCCGGGCCCAGGGCTTCCTCCCCGGGGTCGGCTCTCAACCCTGAAACTTCAGCTGTGTCCACGGACGATGGTCACCCGGAGGGAACAACACCCCCAGAGCCATCACCTCCTCCACCCGTCCACAGCCACAACCCTGCCACCACCTTCAACAATGACGCTCCCAAGGGGCCGAGCGCCCTGCGCTGCCCCACACGGGCCGTGTGTGGGGGTAAAGGCTCCCGCCGCAGCCCAGCGGCCAAGGAGGCAGGGCCGAGTGCCACGCTGAGAGCAGCTCCGGAAGCCGCCTGCCCAGGGCCTCCTACCTGAGGTTCAAGCCTGTGGCTGCATCCAGTCTCTCCCAGCCTTGCAGCTTTGCGAGCAGCCTCTGGAAAGACAAAGCCAAGTCCCCATCACCGCCTGCCCAGGAATCACCGCGTAAAACCCACCATCCCACAGCGGCCCCGGAACGGCCTGTGCTCATCTCACAGGACGTGCCAGGACGTGCAAACGCCCACCCCACATCCCCCAGCCGGGACCCTGCACGCGTCACATATCCTCCCTGGCCCCCGAATTCAAGCCTGAACCCCAGCAAGTGCAAAGGGAGTACGGAGGGCAGGCATCACAACAGGGTTAGGCCACCCCCTGCAGTGCCGGCATCCCACATAAGCCCAAGTTCAAGTCCCGGCTGCTCCATTTCCAATCCAGCTCCCTGCCAGAGCGCCTGGGAAAGCCACAGAAGACGGCCCAAGTGCCTGGCCCCTGCCACCCAGGTGGGAGACCCAGATGGAGCTCCTGGCTTCCTGGATCTCCTGGCCGGCCCCGGCTGTGCAGCCATCTGGAGAGTAAACCAGCAGATGGAAGACCTCTCTCCCTCCTACCTTCTCTATAACTCCGCCTTTCAAATAAACCATTTTAAAAATAAACTAAAACGCACGGAACCATGAGTGCAGGGAGCCTGTGCCCCACAGAGCAGACCCAGGTACTGAGCCCCGAGGGCTCACCTCTCCCCCATCTCCCAGGTGCTCCATCAAATGCCAAGCCACAGGGCACACACACTAACCCCAGCCCACGGAGAGCTGCGCCAGCAGGCCGCACAGAAGGGCAGTCGGCCCCCGGGTGTCAACACCATCCCATCACCAGCCTGCCCACCATCATGACCCACACACCAAAGTAACGGGACCTCAGGGCTCTCCCGGAACGGGAGCCACCTGCAGTTGCCCCGCTGCCCGCCACCCCACTGTGGCACACAGCACACATGGCTATCCAGGGCATCACTCAGTCAGGTGTTTCCCACGCCCTCCACGTGGTAGCGGGTGCAGCCAACATGACACGCCACACCCACGGGGCAGCCCCCGTCACCACTCCTTGCTGCACAGAGGGAGCCCGGTGGAAGGAAGGCAGCACACCCACGCAGGACCCTCAACCGGGAGGTGGGACTTCAGGCCCTCAATCTTGACTCATTTCCAAGAAAAGTTATTTCCAGAGAAAACATAACTTCACTTGGGATGCCAGCCTGGGAGGGGAGCCCCTGCCCTGACGGCTGGGCTGCCCGGGCGCTCAGCTGGATGCAACTCTGGGAAAAGGCTGGGGCCCGACACGGGCTGGGGATGGCCAGGCCGCGGTGAGGCCGCGGGCGGCACAGAAACGGCCAAGCAGCACGGACCCTGCCACCACACGGGGGCGTGCTGGGCAAGCCGGAGGCCTGAGGCGGCTGTGAGCACGGGAGGCGGCATGGAGGACAACAAACCCCAGCGGAGCACACGTGCTGTGCACAGGCGGCACCTCTGAATTGCAGTCTCCTCCCCCGCCTTCAGGCCTCCCAGGGCCGCAACCTCCCACACGGACACCTCGGGTCCCAGCCACCCGCAGGGGGCTCTGTCACTCTCACCTCCGACGGCACCCAGGACTCCCGCCTGACTCCCATCAGCACAGCCAGGCAGCCTGCAGCAAGCCAGCGTCAGACCTCACAGCTCTCAGTCCCGAGCCCGCACCGCGTCCCCACGGGCAGGGCTGGGCCCACGGAGGCTCCAGGCAGAGCCGCCTCCTGCCTCCCAGCCTCGGCAGGCACCCACGTTCCCCGGCCATCCCCAAAGGCGGCCACAGCCAGCAGAGCCACCCCCTGGCACCCTGTGCTGACACGACACACCCAGATGGCCACAGCCTCTCTTCACGCAGGGTCAGGGTCACAGGCTCCGGGATTCACAACATTCTGCTGACGCCTCCAGGTCCCGTGGGACGGCCAGTGGAGGACGCGCAGCCTCGGCCTCACCTCCTTCTCCAGCTCCAGGTCCACCACGGCCTGCTGCACCTGCTCCTGGCGCGCCAGCCGCCTCTGCAGCCCCTCCAGCTCCTCCTGGAGCAGCCCGTTGGTCTCACTCATCTCCCTGATGGGGCCAGAAACGGTCTCTCAGGCAGCCGCCCACCTGGGGACACAGCGGGGCCCCCACGACGGCCCCACGGCCCCCACGGCCCTCACCGCAGGTGTGAGTTCTCGTCCTGCAGCCGCTTCAGCTCCCGCTCCATCTTGGGGAGCCGCGCCAGCTCCGACTTCATGCTCCTCACGACCACGGCGTCCTGCTCCTGCAGGGACAGCTTCTGCTCCAAGTCCTGGCGTGGGGGGGAGGGGGGGACAAGAACGAGCTGCCGAGCCTGGGAAACGCGGGTGCAGCAGGTCAGCGCCGCCCGTGCACCAGCATCCCTCACGGGCACCGGTTCGTCCTGGCTGTCCTGCTTCTGACGCCTGGGAACACAGCAGACGACGGCGCCACCACTCGGGTCCCCGCCACCCACACAGGGGCCGGGATGGAGTTCCAGGCTCCAGGCTTCAGCCAGGCCCAGCCCCAGTGTTGCGGCCGTTTGGGGAGTGAACCAGTAGATGTTAAGATCTGACAGCCGGCACCACGGCTCACTAGGCTAATCCTCCGCCTGCAGGCGCCGGCACACCGGGTTCTAGTCCCGGTCGGGGCGCCGGATTCTGTCCTGGTTGACCCTCTTCCAGGCGTGCCTCCACCCTCCCTCCGCACCCTGCACAGCCAGCGTGCACGCGGCCACCCTTCCCTCAGAGTTCTCTAGGAGCCAGAGCTACTCCCCATCTGTCCCAGAGACCCCAGCACCAAAGCTCCCACTGTCCCCCACAAACAGGCAGGCGTCAGCCAGTGACACACATGTGACAACAGTCTGTGCTACCAGAGAGGACAGACATGTCACCCCAGGACACGAGTCACTCAACAAGCTAACGTAGGAATCTGGGACTCAGGCAGTCAGTCAGCAAACGCTAACAGAGCCCATGTCTTGTCCAGGTACTGGGTACAGCAGGGGACAGAGCAACACGGGACATCAGGCCCAAGGGGTCAGCAATGCCGAGCAGGGGCTGGGAAAAACGAGGCAGGACGGTAGAGTGGGGTGCAGGGCAGACGCTGGGGCCGGGTAGAGGGTGAGCCCCCAGCCCGGGGCCAGGTAGACGGTACAGAGGCGAGAGCCGCAGCACCCACTCTGATGCCAGGGAGCCGCTGACGGGGCTCGGGCCCCACCTCTGCCATGAGAGCAGCTCAGACGGGCACAGGCCGCAGGCAGATCTGCGACGGCGCTAAGTCCACTCCAGGTCACTTCCAGCAGCTCTCTGCTCTCCCTACGTGTGCTAGGGCCACCAGTCAGCTCAGGTCCACCACAGTCAGCTCAGGTCCACCACACACAGCCCAGGGCCACCACAGCCAGCTCAGGGCCACCACACAGAGCCCAGGGCCACCACAGCCAGCTCAGTTCCACCACACACAGCTCAGGGCCACCACACACAGCCCAGGGCCACAACACACAGCCCAGGGCCACCACAGCCAGCACAGGGCCACCACACAGAGCCCAGGGCCACCACAGTCAGCTCAGGTCCACCACACACAGCTCAGGGCCACCACACACAGCTCAGGGCCACCACAGTCAGCTCAGGGCCACCACACAGAGCCCAGGGCCACCAAACACAGCCCAGAGCCACAACACACAGTCCAGGGTCACCACAGCCAGCCCAGGGCCACCACACAGAGCCCAGGGCCACCACAGCCAGCTCAGGGCCACCACACACAGCCCAGGGCCACCACAGCCAGCTCAGGGCCACCACACACAGCCCAGGGCCACCACACACAGCCCAGGGCCACCACAGCCAGCTCAGGGCCACCACACACAGCCCAAGGCCTCCACAGCCAGCTCAGGACAACCACACACAGCTCAGGGCCACCACACAGCTCAGGGCCACCACAGCCAGCTCAGGGCCACCACACACAGCCCAGGGCCACCAGAGCCAGCTCAGGGCCACCACACACAGCCCAAGGCCTCCACAGCCAGCTCAGGACAACCACACACAGCTCAGGGCCACCACACAGCCCAGGGCCACCACACACAGCCTGCTCAGGGCCACCACACACAGCCTGCTCAGGGCCACCACACACAGCTCAGGGACACCACAGCCAGATCAGGGCCACCACACACAGCCCAGGGCCACCACGGCCAGCTCAGGGCCACCACCCACAGCCCAGGGCCACCACACACAGCCCAGGGCCACCACAGCCAGCTCTGGGACACCACAGCCAGCTCAGGGCCACCACACAGCCCAGGGCCACCACAGCCAGCTTAGGGCCACCACACACAGCCCAGGGCCACCACAGCCAGCCCAGGGCCACTACAGCCAGCTCTGGGACACCACAGAAAGCTCAGGGCCACCACCCACAGCCCAGGGCCACCACAGCCAGCTCAGGGCCACCACAGCCAGCTCAGGACCACCACACAGCCCAGGGCCACCACACACAGCCCAGGGCCACCACACACAGCTCAGGGCCACTACAGCCAGCTCAGGGCCACCACAGCCAGCTCAGGGCCACCACAGCCAGCCCAGGGCCACCACACACAGCCCAGGACCACCACAGCCAGCCCAGAGCCACCACAGCCAGCCCAGGGCCACCACACAGCCCAGGGCTACAACACATAGCCTGCTCAGGGCCACCACGCAGCCCAGCTCAGACAGGCTTGCGCCAGCAGGGGACGCCGCGGCCCCGTTGCAGGCAGTGACGCAGGCTCACCTTGATCTTCTGTTCCTGGTCGGCCTTCACCTCCTGGCTGGCCTGCAGCTCCTGGATCTTCTGGTTAGCTTCCTGCCACTGTCTGTCACAGGACGACAAGGCATGCGGTGAAGCCAGCGACCCCCTGCCTGGCCCCCAGACACGCTCCCCCTGCAAAGACACCCGGCACCCTGGGCTCCAGCTCCTCACCTCACAGGGCGGGTGGGCAAGCCCAGACCACCCACGAGGTCCTTCCCAGCTGTGACCCCCCAGGTCCCCCACTCCCAACACCGCTCACCCCACACCATCTGCCTGCCCCGGGGCAGCTGCAGCGGGCTGCCCAGGACTGACCACTCCCTCACCCCTGCTTCAGCTCCGGTCATGCCCGGCCTCTGCCCAGCTTGTTCCCAGCCCCAGGACGCGCCCTCCCCACCCTATGACCTCGGGCCTGACTGAGGAGTCCCAGCGGGCTGCCGTCATGCGCGATCTGGCTCAGGGCCCCCAGGTCTGGGCACCAGCCCCTCCTGCAGCCGGGGCAGGCCCCCCCGCACCTGTGCCGCAGCTCCAGCTGCTCCCCCAGCTCCTGCTTCTCCGACTCCAGGCGCTTCAGCTGCCTCTCCTGGTCCGTCAGGCTCCACTGCAGCTCCGAGACCCTGCCCTTCAACGCGTTGATGGTCTGCGGAGAGGGGACACAGCAGCCGCTCACCGAGGCTGGTCCCAGTGCTTGTCAGGGGATGAGGCTTGTCTGCAACAGGGCGAGGACAGACCCACGCCCGGGGCACACGTGATGGACCCCATGCCTGACAGCCTGCCAAGGGCCTCCAGCAACATGAAGTGCGTCAGCCAGGGTGAGCCGGGCCTTCATGCCCAGGGCCCAGCGTCCACCTGGCACACACCCCTGCATCCCCACTGCGCTCAGCCTCCAACCCCAGCAGCGCCACACAGGAGGGAGCTGACCTCCAGGCCAGCGGGGGGGGGGGGGGGGGGGGGGGGACTTGGAGGGCTTGGAGAGCAGCGGGCAGGACCTGGGAGGCAGGCCCGAGCACAGCCAGCAGCCGCCAGGACCGCCAGGACCGCCAGTCCAGCTAGCCCCTCCGGGCCACCCTTGGCGTGCCTCGCGCCTCTCCGGGACCTGCTGATGACCTCCCACACCGCGTTCCTGGCTCAAGTCAGCACAAAGGCCGGCCCACTGAGAAGCGTCACACACATGGGCACACAGAAACCCCCGGGGAACCCACACAGCAAGCCCGCCACAGTGACTGGAGCTGGGCAGCCCCCCAAGCGGCTCACTCTGTAAACAGGCCCAGCACTCGGCTGCAGGGCCCCGAGAGCCCGTGCCCAGCCTTCACCCACGGAACGCACGGGGTGCCTCTCACCCCACAGCCCACTGGGGGCTGACACAGGCCTGTGGGAAATGGGACGCAACACACACACGCTGGGGGCTGACACGCCCACGCTCATTCAGCACACTGCAAGGGACCGACTCAGGAACCAGCAAAGGAGAAAGGTGTCAGACACCTGACGAGGAGCACAGGCTGACACACAGGGCCCATGGGACACGGGACACGACACGCACACGCTGGGGGCTGACATGGGGCCAGTGGGACATGGGACGCGACATGCACACGCTGGGGGCTAACACGGGCCTGTGGGACACGGGACACGACACGCACACGCTGGGGGCTGACACGGGGCCCGTGGGACACGGGACACGACACGCACACGCTGGGGGCTGACATGGGGCCAGTGGGACATGGGACGCAACACACACACGCTGGGGGCTGACACAGGCCTGTGGGACACGGGACGTGACACGCACACACTGGGGGCTGACACGCCCACGCTCATTCAGCACACTGCAAGGGACCGACTCAGGAACCAGCAAAGGAGAAAGGCGTCAGACACCTGACGAGGAGCACAGGCTGACACAGGGCCCATGGGACACGGGACACGACACGCACACGCTGGGGGCTGACATGGGGCCAGTGGGACATGGGACGCGACACGCACACGCTGGGGGCTAACACGGGCCTGTGGGAAGCGGGATGTGACACGCACACACTGGGGGCTGACACGGGGCCCATGGGACATGGGACGCGACATGCACACGCTGGGGGCTAACACGGGTCTGTGGGACACGGGACGCGACACGCACACGCTGGAGGCTGACACGGGCCTGTGGGAAATGGGACGCAACACGCACACACTGGGGGCTGACACGCCCACGCTCATTCAGCACACTGCAAGGGACCGACTCAGGAACCAGCAAAGGAGAAAGGCGTCAGACACCTGACGACGAGCATGCCCTTCTGGAGGCCCGTGGGACGCGGGACGCGACACGCACACGCTGGGCACAAGGACAGGCAGCCCAGCCTCGCAGAGGCTGCACCGGGAGCAAGCAGACAGGCAGCAAGTGGACAGGGACCCCTGAGGGGCACTGTGATGCAGGAACACAGCTGGCGGGGAAGGCCATGGACTTCCTCCTGGGCCTCCTGGGGGAGGCCACTCAGGCCGGCAGGTGGGGAGCGGCAGCCACGTCCTGGTGCCCCCCCACGGGCCCCAATCAGGCCTACGGCCGCCCCCTCTGCCCTTCACTGAGAGGTGTCCGACGGCCCTCCCCAGGGGACTGCAGGCCACAGCTGCAACAGGCGAGTGTGTGAGGCTGGAGCGGACTTCTCTGGACGCGGGCCACGCCTCCCCTCCTGCCAGCGCCCCTTCAGCAGACAGACGTGGGGACAGCCTTAACACGTCCCCGGCACTGCCAAGGCAAACACAACCTGCAGGCCGCCGCGAGGAGCGCAGTGGGGACGGAACGCCAACCACCCCGCGCCTCCCGGCAGCTCCTCCGTGGCTCCACACAGCGCCGTGATGCTGAGCGCCACGCAACAGGGACGGGCAAGGCGCGGGCCGTCCAGCTCCCAGCTCTCGGGCACACACGCCTCCCCGGGGCCACAGCGCCCGGACACCGGCTTCAAGGCCACCTCAGGGGCCCTCAGAGGCTTGCAGGCCTCGCTGAGGATCAGAGAAACGCAAATCCCGAGACCCCACCTCCCCCTCCCACCACCACAAGAAGCGGCATTTCCAGAAACGCCACCCTCCACGGCAGGCCAGGCTGCGGCGAGCCCTGACGCGCCGGCCGGGACCCTGGGACCCCTCCTGCGACTCTGCCCACACAAGGTAACTCGGCAGGCGCAGAGGCCGCAGACACGCAGCTCTGCCGCGCTGATGCCAGCGCGGTGAATCCAAAGCCCAAGACACCGGGAAACGACAAGGAACGAACGGTCAACACTGAAGTTCATGGTCACCAAAACCTAAGAAGTGCTCAACCGACTGACAACCACAGAACAGAGAATCAGCACGTTTACTACGCTTACGTAGGGAAGCACACGTGCGAGAAGCGTCGCTGAAAGCGAAGCCGGGGCCGGCGCTGTGGCGCAGTGGGTTACTCCTCCGCCTGCAGTGCCGGCATCCCATCTGGGCGCCGGTTCTAGTCCCGGCTGCTCCACTTCCCATCCAGCCCTCTGCTGTGGCCTGGGAAAGCAGCGGAAGATGGCCCAAGTGCTTGGGCTCCTGCGCTCACACGGAAGCACCTGGCTCCTGGCTTCAGATCAGCACAGCTCTGGCCAACTGGGGAGTGAACCACCAGAGGGGGACCTTTCTCTCTGTCTCTCTCTCTCACTGTCTGTAATTCTACCTCTCAAATAAATAAATAAAAATCTTAAAAAAAAAAAAAAAAAAGAAAAGAAAAAAGAAAGCAAAGCCACCCAGCGTGGTGCAGGGGCTAGGAGCACGCCAAGCTCACTGCCGCCAGCAGGCTGGTCCCAGGCCCACGGGCTGCACCCACCTCACCGGCCGTGGCCAGGCTAGTCCGGGCCTGTGTACTGCACCCACCTCGCCGGCCACGGCCGGGCTGGTCCGGGCCCGCGGGCTGCACCTACCTCGCCGGCCGCGGCCAGACTGGTCCGGGCCTGTGTACTACACCCACCTCGCCGGCCGCGGCCAGACTGGTCCGGGCCCACGGGCTGCACCCACCTCGCCGGCCGCGGCCAGGCTGGTCCGGGCCTGTGTACTACACCCACCTCGCCGACCGCGGCCAGACTGGTCTGGGCCCACAGGCTGCACCCACCTCGCCGGCCGCGGCCAGGCCGTCCTCCTTCTCCCGCAGCCTCTGGCTGGTGGCGTCCAGGCTCTGCTGGCACAGCCGGTGCCGCTCCCGCTGCTCCTGCACCTTCCCCTCGGCCGCGGCCTCCCGCTCCTGCAGCTGCCGAATGCGCGTCAGCAGCTCCTGATTGCGGTCAACCTCGCGCTGTGGAGAGGGAGAACAGGCCAGCGTTGGGGACAGCCCGAGGGGGCGCTGGGAGGACTCCTCCACGCCCCCCTCTCGGGACAGCCCACCCAGCCCAGAGAAGAGCAGGGCAAGAGCCGCCGGCCACGTCAGGAGGAACCAGGACGAGGCGGCACGGGCCCTGCTGCCGTGGGGACCAGGGCCCAGGAGGACACTGGGCACAGGCCACCATGCCCACCTCGCCTGTGCACGTGCAGGGGCCACTGCTCAGGGAGGAGCTGGAGCAAGGGAAACGCGGAATTCCAAACTGGGCTTGGAGAGGAAAGAGCTACTGCGGCGCCGGCAGGTTCTACCCAGGCTCGGCCGGCATCGAGTGAGCCGGTGTCCCCCGACAGCCACCCCAGCGAGACCCAGCCTGGACCCCAAAACCCTCACACACTGGTGACTTTCTAAGCCTGCCACCTGCGTGCTACCAGGCACTTCTGCCGGCTCTGCTCCACACCTGCACAGGGAGGAGGGACGCAGGAGGCCTGGCTAGGGAACATCTGCCCGCGTCAGCGCCTCACGACGGGGACTGTCCTCTGCTTCAGGCCACCCTCCCCCGGGACATCGGGCACAGGTGACGCCGGACTCACGCCATCAGATGGCCTCAGATGAAACACCCTGGCAACCCCAACACCGAGCACCGCGGGTTTCCAGAGGGCTGGCTCGGTTCTCAGGGACAGGGAGGGACGGGGCAGGCCCTGCCCCCACCTGGCTGCTCTCAGGGACGGGGAGGGACGGGCAGGGACGGGGCAGGCCCTGCCCACACCTGGCTGCTCTCAGGGACGGGAAGGGACGGGGCAGGCACGGGGCAGGCCCTGCACCCACCTGGCTGCTCCCAGGGATGGGGAGGGACGGGGAGGGACGGGCAGGGACGGGGCAGGCCCTGCCCACACCCAGCTGTCCTCAGGCACGGGGCAGGCCCTGCCCCTACCTGGCTGTCCCCAGGGTCGGGGCAGGCCCTGCCCCCACCTGGCTGCTCCCAGGGTCGGGGCAGGCCCTGCCCCGGCAGGCACGCAGCCCGGCACCCACCTCGCAGTTCCTGGCGCTGGTGCTGGCCGCCCTCTCCAGCTCCACCCGGGCCCTCTTGTGGCTCAGCTCCATCTGCATCTTCTCCCGCTCCACCTGGATGAGGTAGGACTTGGAACGGATCTGCTCTGCTCTTTCCTCCAACTGCAGGGCCAACAAAGCACAGGGCAGCTCGGTACGCGTGTCAAACGTGCCAGCGCCCCAGCCGTCCGCACAGACCCTGCGCTCGCCCAGCCTGCGCTCGCCCGGCGTCCCACCTCCCCGCTGGCCTGGGCTGCCAGGAGCAATGGGAAGCTCCCTCAGGCCCTGCCACGTGGCCCCTCCAAGTCAAGTCTGGCTTCCGCCTTGGACACCTCCCTGTACTTCCTTCTTGAAGGCAGAGCAACACAGAGACAGACAGACAGACAGACAGACGGACAGACAGACAGGATACTGGCTTCTGGTTTACTCCCCAAACACCGGCAACAGCGGGGGCCAGGCCAGGCTGAAGCGGGAGCCTGGAGCTCCACGGGGCCACCACGTGGGTAGCAGAGACGTCACTGCAGCCTCTCACTTGCAGTTTTTTTTCTTTTTTTAAAGATTTCACTTACTTCAAAGGCAGAGCTAAGAGAAGCAGAGACAGAGAGAGAGAGAGAGAGAGAGAGAGGGGTCTCCATCCGCTGGTTCACTCCCCAGATGGACTCAATAGGTGGGGCTGAGCCAATCCGAAGCCAGGAGCTGCTTCCGGGTCTCCCATGTGGGTGCAGGGGCCCAAGGACTTGGGCATCCTCCACTGCTTCCCCAGGCCACAGCAGAGAGCTGGAAGGGAAGTGGAGCAGCCGGGACTGGAACCGGCGCCCACGTGGGATGTCGGCACTGCGTGGGGAGCTTCACCGGCTGCGCCACAGCGCCGGCCTCGGCACCAGTCTTTTCAAAGGGCTCGTACGGTTAGGTCGGGCTCCCCCGGCAACCTCCCTGCCTTAAGGATAACGGACCTGGGAACTGAATCCCGCTGCAACAGCAGCCCCTGGGGAAGGCAGGTGAGGTGAGTGTCCGCCAGGGGCCGGCGCTCGAAGGCCCCTCAGCAGTCTGCCCACCCCAGAGAAGCAGGGACGCACAGATGAGCCCAGAAGACACACCAAACGCTGCCACGGAGCCCACGTGCCAGCGAGCCTCGCACTGGCAGCACCGCCCATGCAGAGCCCCGGGCTGCCCCACACCTCCTGACTCGCGGCGTCCTCGAAGTCTGTTCTCAGGGACGGGGAGGGACGGGGAGGGATGGGGACGGACAGGGCAGGGACAGGGCAAGGACGGGGAGGGACGGGGCAGGGACGGGGCAGGGACAGGGAGGGATGGGGAGGGACAGGGCAGGGACAGGGAGGGACGGGGCAGGGACGGGTAGGGATGGGGAGGGACGGGGCAGGGACGGGGCAGGGACGGGGCAGGGACGGGGAGGGATGGGGAGGGGCAGGGACAGGACGGGAAGGGACAGGGAGGGACGGGGAGGGACAGGGCAGGGACGGGGCAGGGACAGGGGAGGGACGGGGAGGGATGGGGAGGGACGGGGCAGGGACAGGGCAAGGACGGGGAGGGACGGGGAGGGATGGGGAGGGACGGGGCAGGGACGGGGCAGGGACGGGGAGGGACGGGGCAGGGACGGGGAGGGACGGGGCAGGGACGGGGCAGGGACGGGGAGGGATGGGGAGGGGCAGGGCAGGGACGGGGCAGGGACAGGGGAGGGACGGGGAGGGACGGGGAGGGATGGGGAGGGACGGGGCAGGGACAGGGCAAGGACGGGGAGGGACGGGGAGGGATGGGGAGGGATGAGGAGGGACAGGGCAGGGACAGGGCAGGGACGGGACAGGGACGGGGCAGGGATGGGGAGGGACGGGGCAGGGACGGGTATTCTCCAAAGTCTGAGAGGTGGCGCCCCACAGCCAGGGGCAGCTGGCACCGTCTGGAGACACTTCTGCTTCTCACAGGGGGTGCGCCCCATACGTCCACCACCACCATCCAGGGGCCAGCTGCCAGGGACACCACTCGACACCCTGCGACCAGCCTGGAGTGAGCAGCGCCAAGGCCGAGAGAGCCCGGCGGGAGGCAGGCGCAGCGCCTCCCCACCCCGTATGTCACCTCGCTTCAGCTCCGCCGTTGGCATTGCGGGGCCCTAAATGCACCCTCACCAGGCTTCCTGGGCTGCAGCCAAGTGGGCTTCTCTGGAGACAAGCGCGCCCTACCTCCAGGGGGCGCCACAGGACTCACACCCCATCCTGTGCCTGGCCCAAAGCACCTGCTCAGCGGGCCCACCCAGCTGCATTTACGTGCACTGGGGAGGGCTTGGCGCTGTGGCATGCCCGGTGAAGCCACTGCGGCACCAGTTCAAGTCCCGGCTGCTGCTCTTCCAATCCAGCTCTGTGCTATCATCTAGGAAAGCAGTAGAGGATGGCCCAGGTCCTTGGGCCCCTGCACCCGCGTGGGACACCTGGCTCCTGGCTTCAGATTGGTGCAGCTCCGGCCGCTGCAGCCATCTGGCAGCCGGTACCCAGCCAGCACCAGCGCGGGCTCGGGACGCAGCACGGGTCAGCAGGTACCCGGCCAGCGCCAGCACGGGCTCGGGACGCAGCACAGGTCAGCAGGTACCCGGCCAGTGCCAGCGCGGGCTCAGGTCAGCAGGCACCCGGCCAGTGCCAGCGCGGGCTCGGGACGCAGCACGGGTCAGCAGGTACCCGGTGGCCAGCACCAGCGTGGGCTCGGGACGCAGCACGGGTCAGCAGGTACCCGGCCGGCGCCAGCGCGGGCTCAGGACGCAGCACGGGTCAGCAGGTACCCGGCCAGCGCCAGCGCGGGCTCAGGTCAGCAGGCACCCGGCCAGCGCCCGGCGGCAGCGGCTCACCCCCCCAGGCCCGCCCGGCCCACCGGAGCCGCGTCTCCACCGAGGCCGCCCCGCGCCCACCTGCATGCTCTGTTGGTACTGCATCTGCAGAGAGGCCGGGGCGGAGCTGGGGCCGTCCAGCCCAGAGCCCCCCTCCACGCGCTGCGAAATGAAGTTGTTCAAAGACCGCAGGGTGGACAGGACGGTGGTGTTCTCCCCCAGGTCCTCCATGGCCGCGCTCTCTGGGGAGAGAAAGGGCAGGTCAGAGCCAGCTCTCCCGGCACCGTCGGCCGCCTCTCAGGGTGTTGCAGCAGACCCCCCAAGGCCCATGCCTGTCCAAGGGCTGGCCGCCCGCTGGACCCAAAGCCAGCTCCCGGGAGAGGGCGCTGGGCCGCCAGCAGCTCCAGGAGCACACCCCTGTGGGGTCAGGCAGAGCGGGCCACAGCGGGGGCAGGAGCCGGCAGCACCCAGGGCCCCCGTGTCCCTCGCCTGCGGGAGACCCTCGGCCTCCAGGCGAGCCGGCGCCACGGCGGGCAGGTGCATCCGGCCTGGGACTCCGGACAGCCGGCAGGAGCTGCAGCCGCCAAGGCACACGGGGGCTGCCAGGCCTCTGCGGCCCCCACCTGGGCTCGTCCCGGCCTCGGGAGGTCGGGCTGCAGGCGAGCGCCGCCGCCCCCGGCTGGAGACACGCCCCCTACCCCGGTTCCCGCTGCCCGAGCACGGGAGCTCCCCCGGCCCACCGCTGCCCGCCGCCAAGCCCGCAGCCGGGCCACACTGCGCGCTGCCAGCGCCGCACGCCCGCTCACGCCCCCAGCCCGCCGGGACCCCCGCGGCCTCCGCACAAGCCCGCCCGGACCACACTGCCGCCCCGGGGCGCAGCGGCCGCGGCCGGGGGACCCGGAGCCCCAGCCCGGGCCGGCCCGCAGGCACCCGGGGCCGCGGCCGCCGGGGAGCGCGAGGTGCCGAGGTGTGCGGGGCCAGGGGTGCCGGGGCCGGCGGCCGGGCGCCGCGCCCACCGCGCGCACGCGCAAGACGGGGCGGCCCGCAGGAGACGGGCGGAGCCCGGGCCGGCGAGCCGCGCTCCGAGCCGGCCGCTCACCTCAGCCGCCGCTGCCCGCCGCCGCCGCTCGGATCTCCCTCCGCTCCGCCCGCGCCCACCTATCGCGAGATGAGGGGCTGGCTCTCGCGAGACTTCGGCGGAGCCGGCCGTAAAGAACCGAGTAGCCGCGCCCGCGATCGCGGGGCCGCGGGAGCTCTCGCTGGGGATGGGGACTCGCGCCCCACGGAGCCGCCTCGGACGAACTTTTTGCGCCCCCGACGCTCTCCCCGAGCGTTGCCACTGCGGCACCGGCCTGAACGCACAACCGTAACCTTCGGGGCGGATGCAGGGTGTATGCCCCAGGGCACCGCGCCAGCGCCGGGGACCCCGGCCGGGGCGCCCCTCGCCCCAGGGGCTGGGCTCCCGGGTTCCCGCGAGCCGCACCCACCCCTCTCCGCCTCCCGGCGCCGCCCCCCACACGCCAGGACAGGGGGCACCCCAGCTTGGGCGACCTGGGAGAGGGAAGGAGGGGCGCGGGCTGGCCTGGACGGAGCCCCAGGGTCTACAGGAAATAGCTTTGAAGAAACCAGTCGTTTGCCATGGCCGGCGCCGTGGTGCACTAGGTTAATCCTCCACCTGCAGTGCCGGCACCCCATATGGGCACCAGGTTCGAGTCCCAGCTGCCCCTCTTCCAGGCCAGCTCTCTGCTGGCCAGGGAGTGCAGTGGAGGATGGCCCAAGTGCTTGGGTCCTGCACCCGCGTGGGAGACCAGGAGGGGGCACCTGGCTCCAGACTTCGATCAGCTCAGTGCTGCCCATTGTGGCCATTTGGGGAGTGAACCTAACGGGAGGAAGACCTCTTTCTCACTGTCTGTAACTCTACCTGTCAAAGAAAGAAACCAGTCATTCTCGGCTTTTTTATTATTATTATTTATTTAAAACCATGGAACTCTTAACCACCTAGCGGACTGCCTGGCCCTGGGCACACTCACAGCCCGTCTCCCCTAATGGCCAGCAGCCCGGGCCTGCCTGCCCCAGTCGGGGACCTCAGGCCGGTCCACACCCACGCAGCTGAGCAGCCGGGAGACCCCCGCGTGCTGTGTCCTTGGGGCCACGCCAACACCTGCTTCTCTGAAATCCGCCAGCAGGCTGTGAAGGCGGGGCCGCCCTGCCTGGCCCTGCCTCTCCCTGCATCCCCACAGAACCCACACCCAACGCTGTGTGTTGCGGCCTCTGCATGAACTTTCCTCGCTGGTGCCAAACAAGAAAAGGCTCCCCTTCTTGTCCTGCCGCATCTCCAGGCCACAGGCCACAGGCCCAGAGCACGGGCCGCGCGGGGAGTCAGGAGGGGCGCAGTGCCGGGCCTGGCTGCCTCACCGGCCCTTCCTCCCGCGGTGCTGCGTGGCCAGCAGGTACACTTCCGCCGACTCCTTCCTGCTGGCCTCGGGCTTCACGGCCCTCACACTCAGGAACTCCTCTCTCAGCCGGCTCTGCAGCCGATGGCTCTGACTTCCAGCCCAGGTCTTACAAAGCAGCGTCCCCCCCGGCTGCAGGAGGTCAGGAGCCAGGTCCACCAGGGCCAGGCAGAGGCTGATGAGCCTGTCGTGGTCCAGGGCCCGGATCCCTGTGGCGTTGGGCGCCATGTCGCTCAGCACCACGTCCGCCACGCCCCCGGGAAGCAGCTCTCGGATTCTGGGCCAGGCTCCCGGGTCCATCACGTCGGCGGGACACAGGAAAGTCGCTCCCTCCAGGGGGAAGACGTGCAGAACGTCCACGCCCAGCACGAAGCCCACGGGAGAGCTGGGGTCTGCGGAGGGAGGCGTCCGAGTTATCACCCACACCGGGGTCTGTGCACACACACACAACACAGGGTGTGATCCTACACCCAGGGACGGCGGGCTCCACCCCCAGCCTTGCAGACCAAGGCCAGGGCAGAAAGTGACCGTCCCAGGGTCAGAGAGAGCGACAGGCAGACCCAGGGCCAGCCCCAGGACTTAGAACTATGACAGCACTCCACCGCCAGGGGCTTGCTCCGAGGGAGGTTCCTGTGTTGCTATGGTCTTGTCGGTCACTGAAACAGGAGAGGGACCCGCACCTGGGGCACTGGTTCAAGGCCCGGCTGCTCCGCTTCAGCTCAGGATGGCCCAGGTGTCTGGACCCCTGGCACCCACGTGGGAGACCCAGATGGAGCTCCTTGTCCCCATCTGAGTCAGGAAATAAAAGGCCAGTGTTCCCCCTTCCCACCTGCGAGGCTCTCGGCCTCCCCCTGCCTCTTCCAACCGAAGGCCGCTGCACAAGCTGGGAGCGTGGCCGTGGACGGGCTGGGAGCGTGGCTGTGGCTCGGCTGGGGCCGTGGCTGGGCTGGGGCTGGGGCCATGGCTGGGCTGGGAGCGTGGCCGTGGCCGGGCTGGGGCCGTGGCTGTGGCTGGGCTGGGAGCGTGGCTGTGGCCGGGCTGGGGCCGTGGCCGTGGCCGGGCTGGGAGCGTGACCATAGCTCGGCTGGGGCCGTGGCCGGGCTGGGAGCATGGCTGTGGCTCGGCTAAGAAGCTGAGGCCGGCGCTGTGACTCAGCGGGTGGAACTGCTGCCCGTGAAGTCAGCACCCCACGGCAGAGCGCTAGCTCTGGTCCTGGCTGCTCAGCTTCTGATCCAGTTTCCTGCCAACGTCCCTGGGAAGGCACTGGGCCTCGGCCAGCCACATGGGAGAGCAGGAAGGAGCTCCTGGCTCCTGGCTTCAGCCTGGCCCAGCTTTGGCCACTGTGGCCACTTGGAGAGTGAACCCACGAATGTGAGGTCTGTCTGTCTCCCTTTCCCTGATGCTCTGCCTTTCAAATAAACGTTTAAATAAAAAAGTCACAGGGCTTTGAGTTCTGTCTGCCTGCGAGAAAGGAACAAATGCGTTTTATTCCTAGCTAACACTTCAGGAGCCAGGAGCTCCATCCGGGTCTCCCACGCAGGTGCAGGGGCCCAAGGACTTGGGCCATCTTCTACTGCTTTCCCAGGCCATAGCAGAGAGCTGGATGGGGAGTGGAGCAGCCGGGACTCGAACCAAGGCTCATGGCGGGGGGAGAGCAGGTGCCGGGACTGCTGGCAGTGGCTTAACCGGCTGACCCAACACTGGCCCCTTGTCTCTGATTTTGAAAAAGTCCTGTTTTTCTCATCATTATTACTAAAGAACCGAAGTGGCCATTGTGTGCCTTCCCAGAGGGGCTCACCCCCGTTCCCAGGGGCAGAGAGCAGCCTGCCCGCACGCCCTCAGATGCAGGGCCGTGGGAAGGCGCTGTCGGGGGCTGGCACTGTGGCCTGATGGGTTAAGGCACTACCTGCGACCCCAGCATCCCATGTGGGTGCCCGTCACATCCCAGCGGCTCCACTTCCGATCCAGCTCTCTGCTGTGGCCCGGGAAAGCGGTAGAAGATGGGCCAAGTGCTTGGGCCCTGCACCCGCGTGGAGACCCCGAAGAAGCTCCGGGCTTCAGCCTGGCCCGGCCGTTGCAGCCACTGGGGAGTGAACCAGCGGATGGGAGACCTCACTCTCTACATCTCCGGAAGAGCGCGGATGACGCGGTCCCACCTGTGCCTGCCGCGTTGACCCTCTGCACGGCCACCTGGCTCCAGGACCCCGGGGCGGCCCCACAGTCCAGCACCCGCAGGCCGGGCCGCAGAATCCGGTGCTTGCGGTCCATCTCCAGCAGCTTGAAGGCGCTGCGGCAGCGGTAGCTCTCCGCCCGCGCCGCCTTCACGAAAGGGTCGCGGAGGTGCCGCTGCAGCCACCGGTGCTCGGCCCCGGAGCAGCTCTCGCGGCGCCCCCCGGCAGCCTGGACCGGCCCCCGCCGCAGCGGAGCGCGCAGCAGCTTCAGGTACCTGGCGACAGAGACGGGGCGGGCAGGGCGCACCCCACTCAGTGTGCGCCCTGCGCTGCCGGTGTCCCCCGAACCCACGTCCTCGCGGACTTCAGAACGCACTCCAGGCCTCGGAGGACACGGCGGAGGTCCAGTGAGACCCCGGGCGGGCGTCAGGACACACGCGGAGGTGGCGCCCCGTGACCACTCGGGGAGAAGCCCCCATCCAGGGGCCCACCCCGCCCACGCCCAGCCTCGGAACCCCGAGACTCAACCGCAGCGCGGCCACCTGCAGCCCCGCCCACCTGCACACCTGCCGCACCTGCAGCCCGCCTCGCCCCCAACGCCACCTGCCCGGGCTCCCCCGCCCCTCGCGGGTTCATCTCCCTCCCCAAGTCCCGCACGCGGCCGTGGCGGGCGCCCTGTCTGGGTCAGGGGCTGCGGGAGGGGTCTTCCCACCGCTCCCGGCTCCCGGGCGGGGGTCTTCCCACCGCTCCCGGCTCCCCGGGCGGGGGGGGGTCTTCCCACCACTCCCGGCTCCCGGGCGGGGGGGTCTTCCCACCGCTCCCGGCTCCCCGGGCGGGGGTCTTCCCACCGCTCCCGGCTCCCGGGCGGGGGGGGGGTCTTCCCACGGCCCCCGGCTCCCGGGCGGGGGGGGTCTTCCCACCGCTCTCGGCTCCCGGGGGGGGGTCTTCCCACCGCTCCCGGCTCCCCGCGCACACGCGGCAGGCGCCCCACACGGGCGCCGCCAACCCCCTTACCCCGCCATCGGCGCCTCGCTCCGCGCCCCCGGAAGCGCCGCGCCACTTCCGGCCGAGGCCCCGCCCCCCGGCGCATTGGCACAGGTAGGGGCGCGCGGGGCGTGGGGGTGCCCCAGGGACCCGGGCCCGCGGCGGGGGTGGGCGCCGGCGGCTGGGCGCGCTTGCCCTCCTCGGCCCGCGCGAGGACCCGGCCGGGGCGCGCGCTCCGAGCCCTGGAGTCCGCTTCCCGGCCGCGCGGCCAGGCTCTGCCCGGGTCGGGAAGTGGGGAGCGCAGGCCGAAGTGGGGGCCGGGCCCAGCGAGTAGTGTAGTCCCCGGGGCCCGCCGGCTGCGGGCCTGGTCCAGCTCCCGCTGGTGCGCTGGGACCGCTGGAGGCCTGGCCCCGGCTCCTGGCCCAGCTCTGGCCAAAGCAGCCACTGGGGGGCGCGAACCAGCAGGTGGACGCTCGTGCTTTCTCTCTGCCTTTCAAAGTAAGAATCTGCCGGTGCTGAGTGCATGAGAATGGCCTTGGCGCTGCCTTCATCCTCGAAGCTCAGAAAGCCAGGTTTGGGGGCCGCTGTCGAGGGGCGGGCAGCCGAGCCGCGGCCTGCAGTGCCGGCCTCCTGTGTGAGCTCTGGTTCGAGTCCCGGCTGCTCCACTTCCCGGCCAGCTCCCTGTTGTGGCCTGGGAAAGCAGTGGAAGATGGCCCAAGCTTGGGCCCCTGCACGGGTGTGGGAGACCCAGAAGAAGCTCCTGGCTTCGGCTTTTCAGCCATATGGGGAGTGAACCAGTGGATGGAAGCGTGTTTCTCTCTCTCTCTCCCTGTAACTCTGTCTTTCAAGTAAATGTCTTTTTTTTATTGTTTGACAGGCAGAGTGGACAGTGAGAGAGAGAGACAGAGAGAAAGGTCTTCCTTTGCCGTTGGTTCACCCTCCAATGGCCGCCGCACGCCGCCACACCGCGCCGATCCGATGGCAGGAGCCAGGTGCTTTTCCTGGTCTCCCATGGGGTGCAGGGCCCAAGCACTTGGGCCATCCTCCACTGCACTCCCTGGCTACAGCAGAGAGCTGGCCTGGAAGAGGGGCAACCGGGACAGAATCCGGCGCCCCGACCGGGACTAGAACCTGGTGTGCCGGCGCCGCAAGGCAGAGGATTAGCCTAGTGAGCCACAGCGCTGGCCATCAAGTAAATAAGTCTTTTAAAGGATAGAAGGGAGGGCGGGAAGAAGCCAGGTGTGGGGCATGGCGCAACCAGGCTGGGAGAAAGCATTCGGCCCTGTGGGAAGCCCCTGCACAGACCACATTCCCCACGCAGCCTTGGGTCTGTAGTCACACACCACGACTTCCAAGGAGGGCCCCAGGTGCTGAGGAGGGTGGGAGCCGCGGGCTGGGACAGGGACAGGGATGGCCGTAGGAGGAGTGGGCTCCGGCAGGGGCATCTGCCTCCGTGGCTTCTCTGGCCACGCACTCCTGTGGCTGCCAGGTGTGAGCACAGGGTAACTGCTGCCCCAGGAAGTGGACCTGCCCCGGCCCTGTCCACGGACACCAGCCACATCCCACTGGGCCGGAAGCAGCCTCTCTGACAAGGCCGAGGCCAGACCCTGGGGTCAGAGCACTGGATAAACTTCACGGGTTCTTTGTGGCCAGCTGGGCACAGGGGCTGGGCTTGGGGCTCCCGGGGGCCAGCCCAGGGGCAGCAGCAGCCCTCCTTGGAAAGGCCCTGTTCTGTGTCGCTGAGAGCACCAGGCAGTGGGCAGAGGTGGCTCTGACTGCCTGGCCCGGATGGCCGAGGTCCTGAGGGCCAGGGCTGGGAGGTGGCGGCCTGGCCTCCCTCCGGACCACCTGGAGGCTGACCGTGCCCTCTCGCCGTGCTCACAGGACCCGGGGACCATGGGCGCCACCAGGCTCTATACCCTGGTGCTGGTCCTGCAGCCCCCACGCCTTCTCCTGGGCATGAAGAAGCGCGGCTTCGGGGCCGGGCGCTGGAACGGCTTCGGAGGTAAAGTACAAGCCGGAGAGACCATCGAGGCCGGGGCCAGGAGGTGAGGAGTGGGGGTGGGGCTGTGGCTGTGGCAGCGGCCTGCAGAGCTCTGTAACTGGACGTGTCCTGACCCGGAGCCTCAGCTTCTGGGAGGCGGGAGTAGAAGTCAAGGCCTGTGCTGACCGCCCCACAGGTCGTGGCCTGACTTCAGGGCGCGTGGGGGACGCTGCTCTGGCCGTGCTGTGAGCCCGGCAGTCCCCGGGTTTGTCGGTCGTGTCTCTCCGGAGCCTTGGGCACGCTGAGTCTCACGTGTTCCTCGGCATACCGCCGGGCGTGGGAAGGGACCGCGCCGCCAGTCGCTCGCGGACGTGCTGGTGTCTGCTGCCCTGGCCCCTGGCTGGCGTGAGGACGCGTTCGGCGGGGCCAGCCCTGCGCTGCCGCGGTCTTGTTCTTGCACCTGCACTCGGGTGCTGGTGTTGTGAGTGGCAGCTTAACCCCGTGACGCCGGCCCAGACTGGCTTTCTCACTCAGACCCCCCTCCAGTGTAGGGGTCTCAGCATTCCCTTAGGGGTGCCAGGCTCCCTGCATCCCAGCCTTGCCCCGTGCACACGGGGGCCCCCCTGCTTCCCAGACGTTTGTACAGCCGGCCAGGCCGCTCCCCTACACTGAAGACAGAAGTTCAGAACACAGGACCGCACCTGCCCACCTAGTGCAGACCCTCGAGCCTGGAGGACTGCGTGGTGCGGCCGCCCCAGCCCGTGAGGGGCTTCTCTCAGGGCACCTGCCCAGCCAGGCCTGCTTGCCGAGGGGCAGCAGCTGAGGAGAGGATGTGCAGGATGCAATCAAGGGTAGGCACACGTGCCCCTCCTCCTGTGCAGTAAGGTGCAGCCTGGGTGCAGAGACCCTGGGGCCCCCAGGTCTCCAGCAGTGAGAGTGGCTCTCCTTGGGGCTGCCCTGACCATCTTCCCATCCCCCACCCCCAGAGACCTGGTGTCCAGCAGCCCAGGAAGGGGGAGGGGGCGAGGATGAGCCTGGTGTGGGCTCTGCCCGTGCACCCCCCCCTTCTGTCAGGATGCCCAGAGGCCACAGGTGGGCACGCTCACCCACTCCATACTTCCACCATCTTGGAGGGCCTGTCCTCAGCCTCCGTGGCGCGGAGGCAGCTGGGCAGGTGCACAGGGCGCTATGCCTGGTGCACGGCGGGGGACCAGGTTTCCAGCAGCGAGAACCCAAGTCGAGTGTGGTGAAAGGGGCCTCCCCGCTCCACCCCTGGGCCTGGAGCCACTTCCCGCTCGCCTGCTCCATGTTTACGCTCAAGCCCTCCTCCGGCTGCTTCCCGGGAACTGAGCATCGGGACCTGCGGCGGCGTGGGCTGCGTCTGTCGGTTACCCAGCTTTCGCTGGTGAGACTGCCAGTGCCACATGCTGCGTGCATTTGGGAAGATGAACTAAAATTAGTCAAAACACAGAATCAGTAGGCGAAGTCTCTTACAACGCGACTTGCCAGGCTGCTGCCAGGAGCCTCGCTGAGCCCTGCTGCGCTCATGCCCCCGCTGGCCCCAATGGCCAGAGCCGCACTGATCCAAACAAGGAGCCAGGAGCTTCCAGGTCTCCCGCGCGGGTGCAGGGGCCAAGCCCCTGGGCCGTCCTCCACTGCCTTCCCAGTGGAAGAGAGCTGGGTCGGAAGAGGAACAGCCGGGGCTCGAACTGGCGCCCACTGCAGGCAGAGGCTTAACCCGCTGTGCCACAGCGCCGGCCCCTGGGAAGCCTCTAGCCACCACGCCCCCACATGAAAAGTCCAGCTCTAATTAACCCTCAGTAAGTCAGTGCCACTGTCAGGCCTGTGCACTGGAGGTGGTGGCTGGGGGCTCCGGTCCAGCCAGGCTGAGGCCCCCGTGGCCTAACGTGTGTCCCAGGGACTTTGCTCGCCGCCCTGGGCAGGCAGGCCACACGGTGTGAGCGTGCTGCTAACCCAGCTAGATCAGAAGTAACCAAGCCTGGTAGGGGAGTGAACCAGAAGGTGGGCGAGCTCTGAATCTCTGTGCCCTACAAACACAATTTTAAAAGGTTCTTGTTGCACAGAACCATAAATGGTCAGACCGTGTGAGCACAGTTTTATAGAAGCAGAGGGCAGTGAGGAAGTGAGAAACCCCCTGGGCTGGTGCCACTGTGGCCTGGTAAGTCCCCAGAGCCCTGAGCCCGGGGCAGGGCCTCCAGGAAGTACCTGCAGAGGGCCTGAATGGGAAGTGAGAAGTGGGCACCCTGCACGCACCGAGATGCTCCCCGTGGGCTCCCGACAGTGGCCACAGGGTGACTGTTCCTTTTTAAAAGACTTAGTTATTTAAAATCCAGGATAGAGAGAGGTCTTCCATCTGCTGGTTCAGTCCTCAAGTGGCCACAACAGCCGGAGCTGAGCTGATCTGAAGCCAGGAGCTCCACCCGGGTCTCCCACGTGGGTGACAGGGACCCAGACACCTAGACCGTCTTCTGCTGCTTTTTCTTAGCTACCAGCAGGGAGCTGGATCGGAAGTAGAGCAGCCAGGACTCAAACAGGTGCCTATATGGGATGCCGGCCCCACAGGCAGTGACTTATCCCACACCAGAGCTAGCCCTGCAGCGTAGAAGCCACATAGTCCTCTCCTGGGGGGTGGCCTGACAGGCTCATGATGCAGAGAAGGACCCAGGGATCACTAAGCTGGCGCCAGGGGTTCCCGGGGTGGCGAGCGCGGGTGGTGCCCCGGCTCTGGCTTCTCTAGGAGGGGACAGCATCAGGGCCGGCTGGTGCTGCTTGCTTGTCCCACATGGCGTGCTCCCATGGCCAGGTCAGCCCGTGCGGAAACGGCCCGGAGCGTGTGGGTCGTGTCCGAGGCAGAGCCAGAGGCATGACAGGAGCCTGAGACGGAAGGACGATTCCCTGGGCACCTGGGCCCCGAGCGCAGGGCCGTCAGCCCCGGGGCTGCTACCCAACTTGTGGCTGGCTCAGCAGGCTTGGGCGGTCAGCCGGCAGAGGACAGGACGGCACTGTGCTCCTCCCCAGAACCCGACCGCCAGGACTTCGGGGGTCCGCGCTGGCTGCATCAGCTCTGCCTGTGTCAGCTCTGCTGAGGCCCTCGGCGTGAACGCCACCCCACTCCCCTCGCGCCAGGCCCACAGTGCCCCACGCCTGCTCCTCCTGCCTCCGGTGCCTTCCCTGACCCCTTCCCTCCCCTCTCCCTTCCACCCACAGGGAGCTGCAGGAGGAGAGCGGGCTAACCGTGGACACGCTGCACAAGGTGGGCCACATCGTGTTCGAGTTCGTGGGCAACCCCGAGCGGATGGACGTGCACATCTTCCGTACCGACTGTGTGCAGGGCACACCTGTGGAGAGCGATGGTGAGCCTCGGCGGGGGGGAGGGGGGGCTGCTCCCCACTGCCCTCTGGAGTGCTGCAGGTCTGGGGTACCGACGCAGCCGGGCCCACGCCTGAGCTGGGTGGTGACCTTGAGGCTTCAGCCCCCAGGAGGTCCTGCCCCACAGCAGCTCCGTTCAGATCCGGGCAGGACGTCTCACCCCCGCCTCCCCACTGCAGAAATGCGCCCACAGTGGTTCCAGCTGGACCAGATCCCCTTTGGCGACATGTGGCCCGACGACAGGTACTGGCTGCCGCTCCTGCTGCAGGGCAGGAAGTTCCAGGGCCACTTCAAGTTCCAGGGCCAGGACACCATCCTGGACTACACACTGCGAGAGGTGGACGTGCTCTAGCCGGAGGGCCGGAGCCGCCGGGCTCACGGAGCGCAGCTGACTTGTGCTGGACTGTCATTGGACTGAAGGAAAATAAAGGCTTTTTTTTTTTTTTTTTTTTTTACAGATTTCCGCAGGCACTGGCATGGCCAGCTCAGTCCCGGGCCTGGGGGGTGGGGGTGGGGGTAGGGGTGGGAGGCGGGCAGAGAAGGGAGACGAGCGGAAGGCACAGGGCTGGGAGCTCCTGGCAGGGCCTGGGTGCAGCTCCGCCTGTCCCGGTCCCGGGGGGCGTGCCGGGCAGAGAGGGAGGCACCGGGCCAGCAGCTCCTGGCGGGGCCTGGGTGCTGCTCCACCTCCGCTGGCCATGCGCCCAGGGCACAGACCCACATTGAGTGCCATGCCCGTGCCCCTGCCCCAAGAGCACGGAGCTGCTTCCCACTGTGCGAGGGAGGAGACCAGAACTGACTGCTTCGCCCAGCTTGCGTCCATGAGTTTAATGACCGCTCGTGGAAGTTGGGGGTAGGGACTGCGGCACATAAGCCATCTGTAAACGCTTCCAGTTTATTGCAGGTCGCAGTAATTGATTCCCACAGCCTCAAAGTGCCTCCTACGAAAACCTCGCTCCCGTAGGAAGGGAGAAGCCTTAGACGCACAGCAAGCCTGGCCAGGGACCGCGTGGCGCCCACTGCCACCACACGGCAGGTCACCCTCACTCGGCCTGGCACTGGGGAGACACCCACTCTGCCACCTTGGGCCGGGACACGGGCTGAGCGGCAGGTGCCATCTCCCTCTCCCAGGAAAACCAGGCAGGGCCAGAAGGCGGCAGCCCCTGCCTGCCGTGCCCAGCAGGTCCCACCCCGCTGACCTGCTGCTGGCTCACGCCTGGGGGAAGGTGGGTGACCAGGGTAGGAGGCTCCCCCTCTGCCAGCTGTGGGGCCCCAGCACCCCTGCCTCAGCCGGGGAGACAGCGCAGGGCCCCGAAGGCCTGCAGGGAGACCTCGCGAGTCACGCGCCAGGTCCCTGTCGGTCAAGTTCTTTTCAGTTTATTCTGAAGCCTTGGTACTGGGGTCCCCTTGGCCGCTGTGCTGACAGCGCCTGCCCTGGAGGCCCCTGTCCCCCCCCCACCTGGGCGGGGAGCAGTGACAAGTCTGTAGGGTCCACAGCAGACCAGGGGGCACGCACTCCAGCTCAGGCGCTGGGCCTGAGTCCCCTGGGCAGCTGAGTGCTTGCTTCTACGCCTGGGGGAGGGTTCCGAGGCACAAGTGGCTGTGACTTGGGTGGGGCCAGTGGTTCCAAATGCAGGCACCAGCCACCCCAGGCAGGAAGGCACAGACCCACAGGGCCCACCATGGCCAGAGACCCGACTCTCCCAGCCCGGGGACATGAGCCAGCTGGCCCCAAGGATGGCCGCCTGCACTGCACAGGGGCCCGGTGCAGCCCTACCTCAGGCTGGGAGCACAGCCCTGGCCATGCCCCTGGGAGGAGGACTACAGAGGGGCTGTCATCCAGGCAAGTCCTCCCCTAGCATCTCCCCCCGCCCCAGAACACTGGGCACCGGGAGGCCCCGCACGGTTCCCACCAGGAGACTCAGGCAGCGGCACACTGGGCCTCCGTGACCTCTGACCCCACAAAGCAGAAGAGCCTCCTTCACCTGCCCCTGGGGGCGGCTGGGCCAGGGCCTCGTGGCCTTGGAAGGGGGTGAACCCCTGTAACACTTCCCTGCCCCAGCAGGCTCGGGGCCCGCGGTGTGGGCTCCGGCACTGGGTGACCAGCCCTGGATGGACAGAAGCCCCGTTCACACGGTTTCCAGGTCTCAGAGCCACGTCCTCCACACCCAGACCACGAGGCACGCGGGGTCTGGAGGTCTGCGTGTGTGGAGGGGCAGTCGGGGCACCTGACACCAGGTCCGTGCCCTGTAGCACTGGTGCAGCAAGGGTCCCTGCCCCCACCCCCCAGAGCCTAGAGTGTCTGCAGACGCTGGCAGTGGCCCCACAGCTCTGAGAGCTCGCCCAGCACACGCTGCGGCGGCGGTCCTGCCCTGTGGCTGACCCCCTCCCAGTGTCCCATGCAGGAGTCCCCAGTCCCCCAAGGCACTGCCGTGGGAACGCGATCCTTGCTTCCCCCAGTCAGCAGCTGGGAACCCGCGGGCTCCTCCCCGCAGGCTGGCAGGACAGGCCGTGAGGGCACATCCAGACTTCCTGGCCTCAGGAGCACCAGGCCCCCAGGAGCACCAGGGGCTGCAGTCCAGAGGGAACGAGCCAGGGACACGCGTGTGGAAAGAGGCTTTGGTGAGGCCGCAGGAGCTGGCCGGGGCCTCGGGCACTAGTGAGGGCACAGCCGGCCTGCGGGACCCCCGGCGGTGGCGGCCGTAGCACCGTGCGGCCCGGCAAAGAGGCAGCTCAGCTTGGGCGCCAGCTCGTTCCACACTTTGCTCATCTGTGGGGGAGAAAACACAGTGAGAGCGGGGAAGCGGCTCCCCCGTGAAGCACCATAACGGCTCTGTCCCGTTGGCTGGCGAGGACCCGGTGGACACACAGGGGCCGACCCAGGGCCACGTGAGCCTGCTCCCCCCTCGCTCCAGCAGCCCCGCAGGCTCCACGTGGTTCAAATGCCAAGGCGACATCGACCTCAGGATTAAGCTGGAGGACACATGGACCCCGCCTTCCAAGGGGGGAAACTGAGCCGTGGGGGTCTCCCAAGAGGCTGCAGACCGGAGCTACAGATCTGGGACCTGAGCTGCTCCCCGGGTCCAGGAGCTGGCGTGGCCGCGGGCGGAGGCGCCCTCCCTGTAGGGACTCCTGGTCCCTTGGAAGCAGAGGGACGCAGGACACGGGACGTGAGGGGAGCGCAGGGACTACACTGGGCGGTGACCGGTGGACAGGCCGGGAGGGGAGCGGGCGGCGGGGACACAGCCCTCCCCCGAGGCCTCGGAGCTCAGGACTCCCTACGCTCCTCCTCCGCCCACGTTGAGCCCTCTGCTCCTCCCTCCTCAGCCCCCGCCCGGACCAGGGACAACCTCCCAGCTGCAAATCTGCCAACGAGACCAGGGGTTCCGCGGCGGGGCTGTGTCTGCAGGCCCCGCTGGGCCTCACCTCCTTGTGGCCCTGGATCTGGGAGTTCACGAAGGCCCCGAGGATGTGGGAGGTGAGGGGCAGGTAGACGTGCACCAGCTGCGTCTCCTGGTGCAGGCAGTACAGGGAGAAGTAGTTCCTCAGCTCCATGGTCTGGATGGCGCTCTCTTGCTGCAAGGAGAGGAGCCTCCCTCGGCGCCTGGCCAAGCAGCTGGCCCCAGGGAGGGCACCCAGGCCCAGCCTGACGCCGCCTGTGCCCACAGGCTCGGCCCTCCCCAGGCGCTGCTGGCCAGGCACAGAGAGTGCCTGGGCCCGTGCGCGCTCCCCCACCCCGCCCCCTGCCGCTCTCCCTGCTCTCATCCCGCCAGGCCAGGCCAGGCCAGGCGTGGAGAGGCTCCCGCACCTGCTGGCGCCTACCTCCACGATGCGGGACTCCAGCTGCTGCACGGCCTCGGGCTCGCGGCTCTGCGCCGTGGCGCTCATCATCTGCCTCCTCGTCAGGCTGTACTTGTGCAGCGCCCGCTGGTGCTTGTGCAGCACGCCCTTCTCGTGCCGCTCGCACAGGTCCTGCGGCAGGCGGCACACTGGCCTCGGCCACCGACCCAGCAGGCCGGGGCCCGGGACCGCCCGGAGCACCCCGCCCACCCCACGCCGTGCAGTGACCCTCAGCTACCGGCTGAAGGTGATTCCGTGGAGACCCCAGGAGAGGAGCCTTCTCCAACAGTCACGCCCCACCCAGGCCACGCCCAGCTCAGGACCCAGCACAGGCCAGCCACAGCAAGGGTGGGCCAGCCACAGAGTCAGAGCACACACACCCCCAGCCCCAGGCAAGACACATGTAAACCGGCCCAGTTCAGAAGGGCAACTGGGGAGGCACTGTGGGGGAGGGGGCAGAGCCGCTGCCTGCGACACCGCCATCCCACATGGGCACCGGTTCTCATCCCAGCTGCCCCACGGCTGATCCAGCTCCCTGCTAAAGGCCTGGGAAAGCAGCGGAGGACGGCCCAAGTGTGTGGGCCCCTGCACCCATGTGGGAGACCTGGATGGAGTTCCCGGCTCCTGGCTTTGGCCTGACCCAGTGCTGGCTGTTGTGGCCATTTGGGGAGTGAACCAGCTGATGGAAGACCTCTCTAACTTGGGCTTTCAAAAAAATAATAAGGAAAACTTTAAATTTTAAAGGGGGGGGGGAGGCAACATGAAGTCCCGAGCCCCGGCAGCTTCGTGCACCTGGCTCTGAATCCAGGAGGTGGCGTCCCTGCAGAAGAGCCCTGGCTTCACCTGCAGGGCTGAAAACCACCCCGCCAGGACTGGGGGCCCGGCCACAGCGCCAGCACGGAGGCCTCACAGGCCATCAGCCCCATCCCGCACAGCAGAGGAGACTTCCAGAACGTTCCCCACAGGCCCTGGGCCAGCTCTGCCTGCACTCTCCCTCAGCCGGAAGAGTAACTCTGGCTACCAAAGGCAAACGTTCCTCCAGGCCACTGCGGCAGTGGGGGCCTCCCTGCTCTGTGCCCAGGCCCCCAGGTTCCCCTCGCAGGGCCACGCCCGAGACTGGTACTCTGGTGTTCACCCGCACACACACAGGCATAGGAATGCACGCACACAGACATGCCCGCCCGCAGGCACACACATGGGTACACCCATGCTCACAACACAGGTGCACACCTACACATACGGGCACAACCATGCTCACACAGGTGCACACCCATGCTCACACACAGATGCACACCCTTGCTCACACACAGGTGCACACCCACGTTCACACACACAGGGGCACCACACTCACAGGTGCACACCCAGGCTCACACACACGGGGCACAACCACACTCACAGGTGCACACCCATGCTCACACACACGGGGCACAACCACACTCACAGGTGCACACCCTTGCTCACACACAAGTGCACACCCATGCTCACACAGGTGCACACCCACGCTCACACACACGGGGCACAACCACACTCACAGGTGCACACCCTTGCTCACACACAAGTGCACACCCACGCTTACACAGGTGCACACCCACGCTCACACACACGGGGCACAACCACACTCACAGGTGCACACCCACGCTCACACACACAGGCACGCTCACAGCCCCCAAGGTTTCTCCTGCCCGGGGCAGCCACCCTTCTGCTCAGCTCGGAGGAGCCTGCTGGTACCGCAGGCTGCAGCGCCCTGCGGATCCAGCCACGGGCTCCGGAAGGCCCGTGTTCCCTCTGCGGCCCTGTTCTCCCGCCCTCCTAAAACCACCCCGATTCTGTCCCTGACTCACCTTATAGGACTGCAGCAAGTCCAGGAAAAGGTTTAATTTCTCCACCACATCGTTCTCTTCCTGCTTGCCCTGGAAAACAAGGGGTGAGTTACCCACCTGGGACTCAGAGGATCCGCCCCAGGCTGGGCAGGGGCTTCCTCCCGGAGCCACTCCCAGCTCTGTGGAAGACCCCTTTGCAAAAGGGCTGCCCACCAACACCACGCAGAGAAGCCCAGCCCAGGAGTCCGGGCCCCGCGTCGGGGTGAAGTGAGTTAGGCTGCCCCTGTGACCATGGCATCCCACGCCGCAGCACCACTCCAAGCCCTGGCTTCTCTGCTCCCAGCCCGACTCCCCACTGATGCGCCTGGGAAAGCAGCAAATGTGGCCCAAGTCCTTGGGTCCCTGCCACCCCCATGGGAGACCAGGACGGAGTTCCAGGCTCCTGGCTTTGGCTTGGCCGCTGCAGCCATTTCAAAAGCAAACCAACAAATAAAAGTTCTGTTTTTCTGTCATTCAGCCTTTTAAATAAATTAAATCTAAAAAAGAAAAAAAAAAAAAAACCAGTTCTGATGGGTGTCGCTCCCCCTCTTCGTGGAGGAACGACACAGGACCCTGCGCTGTTCTTTCATCCGCTCGGCCCTCCCCGGGTTTGCTGCTGGTTCTTCCCGGGTTGGCTACCGTCTCTTCCACCTCCATGGAAGGGCGGTTCCCCCTGCCACATTCCCCACTTCCGCAGGGGAGCGGCACACCGCCGGCCGGCTCTCTCGGGGGCTGCACAGGTGTTCCTTCAGCTAGATGTTCCCAGTGCATGTTGTCTCTCTCCTCCTTTATAGTCCTCTTCCGCCAATCCCAACTCTGCTACCCACACGCCGAGTACGCTGCTCTCCTCCAATCAGGAGCAGGTCCTGCTGTTTATTGGTTGAACTGGAGGCAGCTGTGTAGAAGCTGTTTTCTCCTCTCCCAGCGCCATATTGTGGGAGAGCAGATGCATAGAATAAGTCTTAATTCCAGTAACTTAGTCTAGTCCGAGTTGCTCCCAGTTGCTCCCCACAGATGGGAACAAGTGGGAACAAGGGCCCTCACTCCCGCAAGGACAGCGCTAGTGCCGCCTGCCTCCTGCTCCCCAAACCCCAGGTCTCCCCCCGACACTCAGGGCAGAGCCAGGCCCGCCACCAGCCCCGCTGCTAGCTGAAGCCCTGGCTGTGGACATGGGAGCAGATGGGACGAGCGGCACCGTCGTCTCGGCCTTACCAGTGGACACACAGGCTGGGAAGGCCCCTGCCAGGGGCAGAAGCATGGGTGTAAGGACGCGAGCTGTAGAAGCCCAAAGACCCACTGTCACATCGGGCTGACACGAGGGAGGAGGCGAGAAAGGGCCACGCCAGAGCACGCAGGGGGCAGCAGCCACGGCTCCTCTTCCAACTCCCGTGCGTGGCTCTACGTGGACCACGTGGTGGTGGAGACAAGTCCTGCGGTGCAGGTGCATGGCAGGCCCCGCCCAGGGGAATAAGGGTCCCCGGGGGTCATCCGCAGCATCTAAAGCCCACTCTTGGCCTGCCCTGGCCTGTGTGCAGGCACAGCCTGAAGCTGGGGACCCAGAGCAGGCCACTGTGCCCACAACCCGGCCAGCACCAGTGCGGGAGGCGTGCTCCACAGTGCAGCGCCAGAGCGACACCCTGGGTGCAGACTGCGCCTTCGGCAGCACCCAATCTCTGGGCAGGGCAGGGCAGGTGAGCAGAGGCCATGGGGGCGGCCTCAGTTCTGTCCTCCCCCGCTCCGGGCCCCAGGCACATGGCCCAGGCTGCCGCTCAGCAGCTGTCAGGACTCACGCAGGGGCACTGGCAGCCACCAGCACCAGACCTGTGGCCAGGTGCCCTGCGTTCACCCTGACTGTGGCTGTGTGACAGACCGGTCTCCACAGGGAACACGCAGGCCCCAGGGGCAGAAGAAGAAGACACCCAAGGACTTCCGGGACAGCTCCGATGCCCTCTGGAGCCGGTCTTCCTGCAGGAAAAGCCCCGCCCACAGCGGCGGGGGCCCCACCCAGCTCCCCCTAAGCAGCTTCACGGCCAGTGTGCTGCCCCTCACGACCACGGAGCCGCTGTAAACACCACAGCTCTGGCCGGGCCTTTAAACCCGAGTAGACCCATCTCCAAACGAGCCCCGGCCGACCGCAACGGCTCCCGCGGCAGCTGGCGTCCCTCGGGGTGCTGGCAGCTGGGTCGGCATTCTGATGAGCCCATCTACCACGTGCCAGGGAGCACAAGGCGACCGGCAGGCCGGCCCAGCCAGTCTGTCTTCCAGCCTCAGCACAGCCGGCGCTCAGGAATCGACCAGCTGGCTTCTGTTGTTCCGTGCCTGGCGGGAGCCACCCAGAACAGACTGGGAGAGCAGGCCCGCCCAGGGGACTCGGCAGGCAGACTCGGAGCGGGGTCACTCTAAGAGGAAGGCACCCCGGACCGGGCGCGGAGCGTTCTTTGGGACAGGCGTCCGCGGAGAGCAATCCACTCACCTGCCGCGCAGCCTTGTCGGCGAGCAGTGTGAACTCCACAGACAGCCCCTTCAGCGCCTGCTTCAGGGAGCCCCACGTGCTGCTGTGCAGGGCGGCCCAGGAGGGCAGCGGCGTGGTGTCAGAGCCTAAGGCACTGCAGGAAGTGACACGCAGAGGGGAGACACTGAAGGCCCGAGCTGGCCACGCATGCATGTCCTACCCGACCCTTCCATGCCAAGAATGGGTGCTGGGCAAACTCAGGAGGTGGGGACCAAGGCAGCTCTTGGCTGAGGGAATCAGTTCTCTGCCCGCGAGCCCTGGGCCCTGGGCGTGCACAGTGAGCTGCCGTCTGGGCTCAGGAGGCACCGCGGCCGGCATCGAATCCCAGCAACGGGCGACGAGCGAGCCCACGTTCCTCTGCATGTCCGGAGTCTTCTGGACGGCACTTCCTGTCTGCCCAACCCAGGACGGTGGGGGCTGTGGCAGCCACACCTCCCCCTGAGCCTACCCCAGTCCAAGGTCCCCACTGCGAGCCCCACAGGGTCACCTGCCTCAACTCCTTCCCGAAGATGAGGAGGTCGGCGGCGTTGTCCACGGCGCGGGCCGCCATCCGCTCGGCCCGGTCACGCAGCTTGTGGAAGCTGTTGTAGATGTTCCGGATGAGCTCCCGGCTGACGGCAAACTGCGCGTGGATGTCAGCTGGGAGGAAGTCCTGTGTGCACAGGGGAAGCGCTTACGACCAGCCTGCAAAGGCCTTCCAAGGGGAGCAGCCACCACCCAGCAACGACCAACGGGATGCACACTGCAACTCCCGGGCCAGTAGCGAGAGCAGAACCACAGCTAGGCCAGGAGAGCCCTTCACCCCTGAGACCTATCCCGGTGGCTCGGGAGCTCCTTCTCAGGCTAAAAAAGACAGAGGTCAAGCAGCTGCTGTGGGAAGAGTGTAACAGATCTCACAGGTGCAGGGGAACCATGTAGCAGATCTCACAGGTGCAGGGGAACAGTGTAACAGAGCTCACAGGTGCAGGGGAACCATGTAGCAGATCTCACAGGAGCAGGGGAACAGTGTAACAGATCTCACAGGTGCAGGGGAACAGTGTAACAGATCTCACAGGTGCAGGGGAACAGTGTAACAGATCTCACAGGAGCAGGAAAACAGTGTAACAGATCTCACAGGTGCAGGGGAACAGTGTAACAGATCTCACAGGTGCAGGGGAACAGTGTAACAGATCTCACAGGTGCAGGGGAACAGTGTAACAGATCTCACAGGAGCAGGGGAACCGTGTAACAGATCTCACAGGAGCATGGGAACCGTGTAACAGATCTCACAGGTGCAGGGGAACAGTGTAACAGATCTCACAGGTGCAGGGGAATAGTGTAACAGATCTCACAGGAGCATGGGAACAGTGTAGCAGATCTCACAAGTGCAGGGGAACAGTGTAGCAGATCTCACAGGAGCAGGGGAACAGTGTAACAGATCTCACAGGAGCATGGGAACCGTGTAACAGATCTCACAGGAGCAGGAAAACAGTGTAACAGATCTCACAGGAGCATGGGAACAGTGTAGCAGATCTCACAAGTACAGGGGAACAGTGTAGCAGATCTCACAGGAGCATGGGAACAGTGTAACAGATCTCACAGGAGCATGGGAACCGTGTAACAGATCTCACAGGAGCAGGAAAACAGTGTAACAGATCTCACAGGTGCAGGGGAACCGTGTAACAGATCTCACAGGTGCTGGGGAACAGTGTAACAGATCTCACAGGTGCAGGGGAACAGTGTAACAGATCTCACAGGTGCAGGGGAATAGTGTAACAGATCTCACAGGAGCATGGGAACAGTGTAGCAGATCTCACAGGTGCAGGGGAACAGTGTAGCAGATCTCACAGGAGCATGGGAACAGTGTAACAGATCTCACAGGTGCAGGGGAACCGTGTAACAGATCTCACAGGTGCAGGGGAACCGTGTAACAGATCTCACAGGTGCAGGGGAACCGTGTAACAGATCTCACAGGTGCAGGGGAACAGTGTAACAGATCTCACAGGTGCAGGGGAATAGTGTAACAGATCTCACAGGAGCATGGGAACAGTGTAGCAGATCTCACAGGTGCAGGGGAACAGTGTAGCAGATCTCACAGGAGCATGGGAACAGTGTAACAGATCTCACAGGTGCAGGGGAACCGTGTAACAGATCTCACAGGTGCAGGGGACAGTGTAACAGATCTCACAGGTGCAGGGGAACTGTAGCAGATCTCACAGGAGCAGGGGAACAGTGTAGCAGATCTCACAGGAGCAGGGGAACAGTGTAACAGATCTCACAGGTGTAGGGGAACAGTGTAGCAGATCTCACAGGAGCAGGGGAACCGTGTAACAGATCTCACAGGTGCAGGGGAACAGTGTAACAGATCTCACAGGAGCAGGGGAACAGTGTAACAGATCTCACAGGTGCAGGGGAACAGTGTAACAGATCTCACAGGTGCAGGGGAACAGTGTAACAGATCTCACAGGAGCAGGGGAACAGTGTAACAGATCTCACAGGAGCAGGGGAACAGTGTAACAGATCTCACAGGTGCAGGGGAAGAGTGTAACAGATCTCACAGGTGCAGGGGAACAGTGTAGCAGATCTCACGGGAGCAGGGGAACCATGTAACAGATCTCACAGGAGCAGGGGAACAGTGTAACAGATCTCACAGGTGCAGGGGAACAGTGTAACAGATATCACAGGAGCAGGAAAACAGTGTAACAGATCTCACAGGTGCAGGGGAACAGTGTAACAGATCTCACAGGTGCAGGGGAACAGTGTAGCAGATCTCACGGGAGCAGGGGAACCACGTAACAGATCTCACAGGAGCATGGGAACAGTGTAACAGATCTCACAGGAGCATGGGAACCGTGTAACAGATCTCACAGGAGCAGGGGAACTGTGTAACAGATCTCACAGGTGCTGAGGGGTGCAGTGTCAGCCAGCACTGGGTGGGCACGCCCACATGCAGGTCAGAGTGCCTGGCTCAAGTCCCTGCTGACTGCACTTCTGACTCGGCTCCCAGCATGCACCTGCGAGGCAGCCGATGATGGCCCAGGTGCTTGGGCCCCTGCACCCACGGGGAGACACAGGTGGAGTTCCGGCCAGCAGCTTTGGTTTAGCCTCAACCTGGCTATTGTGGGCATTTGTGGGGTAAACTGGCAGATGGAGGGAAGATCTCTGTCCCTTTCTCTCTCTCTCTCTGTGTGTGTGTGTGTGTGTGTGTGTGTATGTCCTTCACTCTGTCTTTCAAATAAATAAATAAATCTTTAAAAAGAAGCAGTGGCTGGCTGTATGGCATAGTGGGTTAAGCTGCCACTTGTGATGCCAGTATCATATGAGTGCCAGCTCAAGTCCCGGCTGCTCTACTTCTGATCCAGCTCCCTGCTAAAGCATCTGGGAAAGCAGTGGAAAATGGCCCACGTACTTGTACCGCTGCTCTCCATGTGGGAGTCACAAATGAAGTTCAAGGCTCCTGACTTCAGCCTCTCTCATCCCCAGCCATTGTAGCCATTTTGGGAGTGAACCACTGGACGGAAGATTTGGAAAAGCCTGTGTGTTTGTGTGTGTGTGTCCCTTGGTCTCTGTAACTCTGCCTTTCAAATAAATACAATAAATCGTTAAAATAAGTAAATAAGAAATCGCCCATCACTTCGACCCCACAGGTGCTGAGATGACCAACAAAATGAGATTGGGATTCGAGGCCCATTGCAATGCAAACTGCATCCCCACACGGGCACTCCAGCACCCACCTCCACGCTGCACACGATGGCGAGAGCTGCTGGGGCTGTGCTGGGAAAGTGGAGGCCTCCTGTTACCCCAAAGACCTTCCACAAAAGCCCTCACCATCAACCGCCAGTTCTTATGAATGAGAGGGCTCACAAAAGAGATTACCTATGTACAGACAAACAGCTTAAGATGGAAAAAAACGGGGCCAGCGCCGTGGCGCAGCGGGTTAAAGCCCTAGCCTGAAGCACGCTGGCATCCCACGTGGGCGCCAGTTCAAAAGTCCTGGCTGTTCCACTTCCTATCCAGCTCTCTGCTATGGCCTGGGAAGCAGTGGAGGATGGTCCAAGTCCTTGGTCCCCTGTACCCATGTGGGAGACATGGAAGAAGTTCCTGGCTCCTGGCTTTGGATAAGTGCAGCTCTGGCCATTGCAGCCAACTGGGGAGTGAACCAGCGGATGGAAGACCTCTCTCTCTGTAACTCTTTCAAATAAAATAAATCTTAAAAAAAAAAAAAAAAAAAAAAAAGGAAGGAAGGAAAAAACATGGGCTGGCACTCTGGTGTAGTGGGCTAAGCCTCTGCCTGTGGCACCAGCATCCCACATGGGCACCAGTTCATGTCCCGGCTGCTCCTCTTCCAATCCAGCTCTCTGCTTACAGCCTGGGAAGGCAGTGGAGGATGACCCAGGTGCTTGGGCCCCTGCTCCTGTGTGGGAGACCCCAAAGAAACTCCTGGCTCCTGGCTTCAGAATGGCTCAGCTCCAGCCATTTGGGGAGTGGATGAAAGACTTCTCTCTGTCTCTCCCTCTCTCTGTAACTCTGCCTCTCAAGAAGTAAACAAATAATCTTAAAAAAAGGGGGGAGGGACCCTACTAAATATCTATATCCGTCCTTCTGGGAAAAGACAGATAGGTTGTGTGACTTTAAAATGCTCAAATGCCACAGTCAGTCCCCTGAAATCAGAAAAGCTGGTGACGGGAGCCCATGTCCACTTGAGCCCAGAGGCAGAGAACAGGCAAATGTGGGGCCTGGGGCAGGGATGGCCTCTGAGCCCCGCCCACACCTGTAGAACAGGCATTAATGCACCTCAAAGCGGGGTCAGCCGAGAAAAACAAGCGGTGCATTTTGGTACAACCCTTGGCATGCGGCAGTCAAAACAGACAGTGCAGAGTGGCACGGCTAAGAGACGAAGTCATCATCAAAACTGGGCAAATACCTTCGCCCTGGCCGCCAGCTCACAGCTCATGAACTCGTCTCCAAGGCACTGAACAGACCCCTTGAGCTTGTTCTGCACATCCTGCGAGAGAAGAGACACCATCCTCCAGCAGCACGAGGCGACGCGGGGTCAGAGCAAGACGCCCCCCGTGACAGCTCCCACTGGAGCACCGCACTCCCCACGCTGCCCACTCACACCATTCCTCGTTGAGCCCACCCCCTGTCCGTTCTCATTCAACAACAACTACAGGCGGGACCCAGCCACAGCGCACTGCTGAAGCCCACCCCCAGGGCAGAACACTGTCTCTTCCCCAGGACACAGGCATCCTCTGGGACATGGGACACGGGACACGGGACACGGCACCCCTCTCCACTGGGGACACAGGACACGGACATTGCGTCTGCAACAGGGGACGTGGGCACCCCTGTACAAGGGGCGGTGCCCTGCGTGAACTCCCTACAGCCAGGGTCAAGGGCTCATGGGAGCCTCCCGCTCCTAGGGTGGGGCAGGGGAAGGCAAGCCCCCACTGTCCTCCCCGCTGTGAGGCCCTGCGGGAGCTGCCGCGTGAAGTCCCTGGGCTCCGAGCCTGGCCCTCTGCTGAAGGCTTCGGGCAGAGCTGAGCCTCACAGTAGGGAACAAGGAGAAACCCCCATGCAGCGCTGAGCATTCTGGAACTTCGGAGCCCGTACAGACCAGCTGGCCCAGGTCTGGCCCCGGGAGGCTACAGGAACACCCCAGCTATGGAATGACAGGACATGGTGCACCAGCAGAGGAGCGTCACAGCTCAGCACCCACCTGTGACCCCACCCCCATCCCAGCCTGCTCGCGTCCTCGCCACCTCGGGGCCTGGACCCCAGGGAGAGCGTGCTCAGCGCGTAGCGCACGTCGGGTGCGGGGGCAGAGCGGCCCTGGGCTGTCGCCAGGGACAGGACTGCTGACTTCCTGGAGTCCAAGGCCCCTGAACTCCCAGGGAAAGGGAAACAGCTGACAGAGTCTCTGCCTCAGCCCCACCGCAGGCAAGGGCAGGAGCCCGAGGGCCTTCCTGCAGCGGAGAGGAACTGAAACTCCTCTCCGTTCAGAGCCTGCCCCCCCTGCCCACCCCCAAGAGACACTCCCGCAGGCACAGCACCCACCCTGCCCAGGGAGGCCAGGCAGCGGCGTCTCCACTGCACCGGCTCCCAGTGGCCACGCAGGCGGCAGGGGGAAGGCACCTCTCAGCCTCCTAACGGAGCCCCCGAGGTGTTAGGACCCCTGTTCCCGGGACAGGAGCCGCCTGCCTGCCTGTGCAGGTGTCTTTAGTCAGTACCCCTCACGCCTGGGGTCTCCTGTGACCGCCTGGTCTGTGTAGGGGCCTTAGCGCCACGTCCCCGGCAACAGCACCAAGGACCACTGCTTCCACAGGGATAACAAAACCCTGCAAATCCAAACCAGGAGAGCCTCTTAGCGGGCACACTCCCCTGCTCCTCGCAAAGGAGCCGTCTATGTGTCCGTCACACCTGCAGCAACACCCAACCAGGCACCCACACCAGGGACGCGAGCCAGGTACAAGAAGCCAGCCGGCGCGGACAGCAAGCCCGCAGGCTCCGAGGCGGCGCGGTGGGAGGACCCGGCACTCACAGGGCCGCCGAAGCACAGGAAGAGCTGCAGGAGGCCGTCCTCGCAGAGCGGCGGGTGCCGGGCCACCAGGTTGAGGAAGCGCTTCAGGGCCCTCCGGCGGCCCTCGATGAACTCCCTGTCGGCTGCACGAGATCACAGGTCACCCAGCCGAGCCCAACGTGCCCGCAGGGCATCTCCGCGAGGGGCCGGCATGGGCCCCCAGTGCCGCCTCAGCGCCCCGGCCTCCAGGCCCCCCACCGCCCAGCTCCCCACACACAGGGGCCAGAACCGGCTGCCTGCTCAGCGCTGAGCCCCGCGACTGTTCTGAGCCTCTGTGTTGAAGCCGGCTCAGGGATCTGCCCCCGGCGCTGTCCCCGGGTGGGCTGTGCCCATCGGTGCCGCAGCTCTGCCTCCTGCTCACACTCCCGGAAGCCCACTCTGCAGTGCTCCAACCACCGCTTTCATGTGGGCCAGCTTCACTTCAAGGGACACGTCAAAGCACACTGGTGCGCTAAGGGTATTTAGCGGTCAGTGCTGGGGCGTGGTGGGGTGGGCATCTGCCAGTGGTGCCGGCATCCCACGTGGGCACTGGTTCTAGTCCCAGCTGCTCCACTCCCGATCCAGCTCCCTGCTCATGGCCTGGGAAAGCAGTGGAAGATGGCCCGAGGGCTTGGGCCCCTACACCCGCATGGGAGACCCAGAAGAAGCTCCTGGCTTTGGATTGGCCTAGCTCCAGCCCTTGTGGCCATTTTCGGGGAGTGGGCCAGTGGATGGAGGGCCTTTCTCTCTGTCTTGCCTCTGTAACTCTTCCTCTCAAGTAAATAAATAAATCTTTTAAAGAAATTTACAAATCTGACCACAATTCACAGTATCTGAGACTTGACAGGTTGTGTCTGAGTTGTGAGAAACACAGTGAATGGGGCCGCCTCCTCCAAGACCACGGGGTCCCGGGGAAGGGCTGAGCCTTCCCTGAGCACCGAGGCACGGCCTCCACACCGTCACACTGAGCTGACTTCTGACGCGTGGGCTCGGCGAAGCGCCCCATGTCCCCAGGACATCTGCCCTCTGCGCCCTGGGCACTCCTCGTACCTCCAGTGAGGGAAGAACACGCTGACCAGCGGCACACGGCCTGCCGGGGCCCACGTGTGCACCCACAGCCCAACAGACTTCCGCGTGCCGGAAGCCACATGGCTGCAGCACACCTCGTGCCGCCTCCCACTCAAGGACACGGACATCTCAGAGGACTCGGGAAACCAACAGAGACCCACCAGGTTAGCCCTGGGCCCTGGCGACCCCGAGCCTTCACGCAGGATCTGCCTAAGGGGCTGTGCGTGGGCGAGGGCACTCATCTCAGGCCTGGGCTCCAGGGCCACCTGGGATCCCCCACCACCCCAGGCGATGGCGCAGCCCCCAGCTGTGTCCTTCCTCTGAGACGAAGACTGGACTCCCTGCTCTCTGCAGCCGCCACCGCACGCGACTGCTGCCACTGCTCACGCTCACTGGGCTCTGTCAACAGGACTCGGCCCTTCCCCCACAGGAGCCCTGGTGGTCCTGGCCTCTGTGCGCTGGAGAGGAGAACCTGGGGGACTAGGGGGACCGCTTCTTTCACACCTGGGCACCCAGGGCCCCCTGTCCAGGTGGTCTTCCTGCCAGGGCCAGTCACCCTCACACCCTCCTGCACCAGACCTGGGCTCGGCCACAACTACCAGCTGGGGACTGCTGGGGGAGGGAGGCTCCACAGCCCTGCTGCCAGCCCCTCCCAGGCCAGCAGGCAGCAGCACACCCAGCATCCCCTTCTTGCTGAGTGGCTCACTGCTGCCCACCCCAGCCCCCAGCAGACCCCGCTTTACCTCCCAGCATCCTCTTGGGTGGCAGGGCCGGCACCATGCGGTACGGGAACTTGTGCAGCAGCACCTCGTGGAAGACCACAAAGTCATTGTACCGTCTGTACACGGAGGCCTGGAAGCGCTTCGAGAAGAAGGGGTCAGCGGTCAGATGGGACATCCGAGCCAGGGCTGCGCGTCGCCGCTCCGTGGGGCTCGGCGGCGCCCAGCGACATGGCATTAGCAAACTCGGCTTCAGGCTGGACCCCGCCTGGGACGCCAGCGCCCCGCATGGAGCGCAGGTTCTTTCTGACTGCTCTGCTTCCCACGCAGCTCCCGCTGACGCGCCTGGGAAGGCAGCAGTGACGGCCCGAGGCTGAGTCCCTGCCATCTCCGAGGGAGAGCCCGATGGAGCTCCCGGCTCCCGGCCTCGGCCTGGCCCAGCCCAGCCTTTGTGGCCATTTGGGGAGTGAACCAGCAGACAGAAGATCATTCTCTCTCTCCTCTCTCTGCCTTTCAAATAAAGTAAATCTTTAAAAAAAAAAAAAAAAGATAAGAATGTACTTTCACGGGCCCCAAGACAGGACTGAAGCACAAACCTTGATTCGCAGCTCCAAGGACCCCAGCAGAGAGCAGCAATGGGAGAGCCACCCGCTGGGCCGTGGACACCCCCATCACTGGCCCAGCTGCCCAGAAGATTCTCAGACAAGCCCCAGCAGACTACCAGGCGCTGCTGTGCCGGGGCCGCCTCCCGAGCCCCCAGGCTGTGGGTCCTGCTCTGTCTTCATGAATCCCACCGACCAAGCATCGAGCACCCCACAGCTCCCCCAGATGGTGCTGGTTCCTCAGTTCCCTCCACCCCAGGACAGAACTGCAACTCCCAGGGCTGGCGCTGCGGGGCCGCGGTGAAAGTCCTAGCCTGCCGCTGACCCATATGCTGGCGGCTGCTCCACGTCCAGCCCAGCTCCCTGCTAATGCACCTCGGAAACCAGTGGAAGATGGTCCAAGTGCTTGGGCCCCTGCACCCACACGGGAGACCCAGAAGAAGCTCCTGGCCTGGATCGGCTCAGTTCCAGCTGTTGTGGCCATCTGGGGACTTAACCAGCAAATGGAAGACCTCTCTGTCTGCCTCTACCTCTCTCTATAACTCTTTCAAATAAGTAATTTTTTTTTTTTTTTGGACAGGCAGAGAAAGAGAAAGAGAGCAGAGAGAAAGGTCTTCCTTTTCCGTTGGTTCACCCCCCAAATGACCGCCACAGCTAGCGTGCTGCGGCCGGCTCACTGCGCTGATCCGAAGCCAGGAACCGGGTACTTCCTCCTGGTCTCCCATGGGGTGCAGGGCCCAAGCACTTGGGCCATCCTCCACTGCCTTCCCGGGCCACAGCAGAGAGCTGGCCTGGAAGAGGGGCAACTGGGACAGGACCGGCGCTCCAACCAGGACTAGAACCTGGTGTGCCAGCGCCGCAGGCAGAGGATTAGCCTAGTGAGCCGTGGCGCCAGCCTAAGTAAAATAATTCTTAAACAAACAAACAAAAAAAATTGCAACTGCCATCAAAGTCTATGCTGACTGAACCAGGAGACGCCAGATGAAGGGACTGAGAGCTCAGCGCTGCCAGGCGCCGGCGGCAGGAACCAGGGCCGGGCGCTGCCGCATTCCCACAGCCGGTGCCCTGGCAGCGGGAAGGCAGCACCACTACCGCGGCTGCCCCCTCCCCAGTCCGAGTCACTGCCTGAGTCCCCGACCTACGAGGTGGCCAGCCCAGTCCCCAGGCGCTGCCGGGACGGGAGCCCCACAACCCGCGATGACATCCTGAGTGGGAAGATGCACCGATATGAGGGGACCTCAAAAGTTGTGGCAAGTGAAATCAAAAGTTGGCCAGCACCGTGGCTCACTAGGCTAATCCTCCACCTGCGGTGCCAGCACACCGTGTTCTAGTCCTGGTCGGGGCACTGGATTCTGTCCCGGTTGCTCCTCTTCCAGGCCAGCTCTCTGCTGTGGCCAGGGAGTGCAGTGGAGGATGGCCCAAGTGCTTGGGCCCTGCACCCCATGGGAGACCAGGAGAAGCACCTGGCTGCTGCCTTTGGATCAGCGAGATGTGCTGGCCGCAGCGCACCGGCTGCGGCAGCCATTGGAGGGTGAACCAACAGAAAAGGAAGACCTTTCTCTCTGTCTCTCTCACTGTCCACTCTGCCTGTCAAAAAAGAAAAAAAGAAAAAAAGGAAAGAAAAAAAAAGAAATCAAAAGTTTATTTTCATATTAAAAATCTGGAAACCTATGAAGTTTATGAAAAAAACTATGCAAAGATTTTAAAAAAACTTTGAGATGTATTATTTATTTCTTCAAAATGCAGAATGAGAGAGAGATTGTCCCTCTGCTGCTGGTTCACTCCCCTAATGGCCACAATGGGCCAGACCGAAACCAGGAGCCAGGAGCCCCATCTGGGTCTCCCCCGTGGGTGGCAGGGACCCAGGCCCCTGAGCCCTCAGTGCTGCCTCCCACGGTGCACACGAGCAGGAGGCTGGCTCGGAACTGGAGTAGCTGAACTCAAACCCAGTCGCTCTGACGGTAAATGCAGGAGTCCCAGTGAGTGACCTAAGCACTGCGCCAAACGCCCGTGCCCACGAGCTGTCTGCAGTCCCCTCGCACCCGAGGGAGCCTCCCGGCTTGGCAGCGTGGTGAGCATCAGTGCTCTCCTGTGCTGCTGCCCGGCACCACGACACAGATGAGACGCCCACCTCCAGGCCGGCAAAGCTCCCCACTCAGATGCAAAGCGTGGTCCCGCCTGACTGCGCACCTTCCCACTGGCATCAAGCCTGATCACCGTCCAAGTCGGGGGCCGGGCTGAGACGCCACGCGGGGGCCCGCGTCCCACACCACAGGGCCTGAGCATAGTCCAGGTCGGGGGCCGGGCTGAGATGCCACGCGGGGGCCCGCGTCCCACACCACAGGGCCTGATCATCGTGCAAGTCGGGGGCCGGGCTGAGACGCCACGCGGGGGCCCGCGTCCCACACCACAGGGCCTGATCATCGTGCAAGTCGGGGGCCGGGCTGAGACGCCACGCGGGGGCCCGCGTCCCACAGCACAGGGCCTGAGCATCGTCCAGGTCGGGGGCCGGGCTGAGACGCCACGCGGGGGCCCGCGTCCCACAGCACAGGGCCTGAGCATCGTCCAGGTCGGGGGCCGGGCTGAGACGCCACGCAGGGGCCCGCGTCCCACACCACAGGGCCTGAGCATCGTCCAGGTCGGGGGCCGGGCTGAGACGCCACGCGGGGGCCCGCGTCCCACAGCACAGGGCCGATTTCAGGTCCTGGCTCCCTGCACTTCCTGCTTCCTGCTCCTGTGCACACTGGGAGGCAGCAAGGAGAGCTCAGGCTGGGTCTCTGCTCCCCACTGGGAGGGCCAGTCCAAGTTCCCAGCTCCTGGCTTTGGCCTGCCCCGGCCCTGGCTGTGGTGGACATTTGGGGAGTGACCCAGCGGATGGAAGACTGATCTTTGTTGGTCTCTATGGCTTTCAAATAAAAAAAATTTTTTTTCAACTCCACAAGTCAGGGACTACCTGTATTGCGAAATTCTCACATGCTACTATGTGTCCAGAGTTTGCACTGTGCAAACTGTCTGTGTGAGGTTCCTGAAACCCAGGATTCCACAGCCCCATGCCGACGAGGATGGATGGGCCCAGGCACAGACAGGGAACCCCAGGGCTGAGCAGACCACACACGGGGACCAGCAGGGCGGCCTGGCTGCCACCAGGTTTTGGATTTCCCTTTAAGCCAGGCAGGCAGACCCTCTCCTCAGCCTCCCCACATCACACACTCCTGCCCCAGACCTGCCCCGTCCAGGGCCCGCCCTGCACGCGCACACGCGCACACACAGTCCGCCACGCACCTGGCTGGAAACCTCGTACTCCACATGCTTCAGGAAGAGGCCCTTCTTCTCGGGGACGAGCTCCACCTGCACCGTGTCCCTGGCCAGCAGGTCCTGCAGGGAGTAGGACAGCAGCAGCGGGTTCCCCTGAGGCATTTGCATTCGCGTGGGATCTGGGTCCCTCTGCTCCAGGACCTGGGGCCTTGGCAAGTCTGCAGGAGAGAGGGCGAATGCGGACAGGGACACAGATCAGAGGCAAGCCGCCACCATGTGCTGGCCCAGCACGTGGACTCTGGCCACGCCACACCCACCCTGCCCTCCAGGCAGTGGGACGAATGCTGTGAGCCAGTCGCTCTGCTCCTGGGCGGCCGCACCTGCTCGAGAATCAACAAACACACCCACGTTCCTAGGACCAAGTCAGGGAAACAGTGAAGAACTTACAAATCACATGCAAAACAGGTTCTCCTTCCCTCCAGAGCCCACAGAAGGGGCCGGACAAAGAGACACGAGTGGGCTCACCGACACGGCCCAGTGTTCCCACGACTAACACGACCACTTGCCCACGCCACACAACCGCACTGATTTGTGTTTTTAACTGCAGGCTTGTTTAGAGCTAGGATTCTTGATCATAAAAACTAAAGAATTGATCCTCGAAATGTTAGCTTCCTTGTGGACAAGAAGCCATCGACAGATCACGCACAAAGCAGGAAAACACAACTTAGAGATTTTATACCTCACAACTTGCCCCCCTAAAAAGAATCACATTAAACAGTTTGCTTTTATTACTATTACTATTACTATTACTATTACTATTACTATTACTATTACTATTCTATTATTAGTGTGGGGAGCAACTGGGAGCAACTCGGACTAGACTAAGTTACTGGAATTAAGACTTATTCTGTGCATCTGCTCTCCCACAATATGGCGCTGGGAGAGGAGGAAACAGCTTCTACGCAGCTGCCTCCAGTTCAACCAATAAACAGCAGGACCTGCTCCTGATTGGAGGAGAGCAGCATACTCGGCGTGTGGGTAGCAGAGTTGGGATTGGTGGAAGAGGACTATAAAGGAGGAGAGAGACAACATGCACCAGGAACATCTAAGGGGAACACCTGTGCAGCCCCCGAGAGAGCCGGCCGGCGGTGTGCCGCTCCCCTGCGGAAGTGGGGAAAGTGACAGGGGGAACCGCCCTTCCACGGAGGTGGAAGGGTCGGTAGCCAACCCGGGAAGAACCAGCAGCAAACCCGGGGAGGGCTGAGCAGACAAAAGAACAGCGCAGGGTCCTGTGTCGTTCCTCCACGAAGAGGGGGAGCGACAATTAGAGAGACAGACACACAGAGCTCAACCCTCTGGTTCACTCTCCCAATGCGCACAGCACCCAGGGCTGGGCCAGGGTCTGCAGCTGGAAGCCAGGAACTCGGTGCAGGTCCTCTGCATGGGTGGCAGAAACCCAGCCACTGCCCACCACCGCCTCCCGGGTCTGCGGTAGCCTGCAGCCAGAGGCAGAAGCCACCGCGGAGTGAGAGCAGGCTAGCAACAGGTGACACGGGTGTCTTAGCTGGCAAGCACCTGCCCCAACATGGGTTTTTAACACAGGAAGAGTTCTAAGTAGAAAAGAGAGAAAAAGAAAGGAAGAGCGGGCGGGCAGGCACCACTAGCGTAGTGAGGGCAGCCCTGGGGGAGGACAGGGGCGAGGGCGGCCTCCCATCTCCAGGCTGCGGTCCCATCACTTCGTACGCGTCACTTCACAAAGGAAGCCCTCCGCAGAATGCGCGTAACGCTCCCCCACAAAGCCAGGCCCGTGCTCATCCGTGACCTCCCACGCAACGGCGCCCGCTCCAGGGGCAAACCCACCCCCCGGTTCAGGAGCACCCGCCGTTCTTCTACTTCCAACCCCTGCAAGTTACAATCTCGGGGTGCAATTAAGTGTAACAAACCTGATGCCACAGTGGTGCCCACGCTGACTACGATGTGCACAGCCTGAGTGTACATGTGCATGTGTGCAGCCATGTGTAAGTGTGGGTGTGACCATGTGCATGTGTGCACGCGTACGATGAGTCTGCGTGTGTACATGTGTGGCTGTGTGTGCATCTGAGTGTGAGTGTGCACGTGTATGACTATGTGTGTGGGGTGTGGGAGTGTGCATCCAGGACATGTGTGTGTGCATCTGAGTGTGAGTGTGCACGTGTATGACTATGCCTGTGTGTGGGAGTGTGCATCCAGGACGTGTGTGTGCATCTGAGTGTGAGTGTGCACGTGTATGACTATGCCTGTGTGTGGGAGTGTGCATCCAGGACATGTGTGTGTGTGCATCTGAGTGAGTGTGAGTGTGCACGTGTATGACTATGCCTGTGTGTGGGGTGTGGGAGTGTGCATCCAGGACGTGTGTGTGTGTGTGCATCTGAGTGTGAGTGTGCACGTGTATGACTATGCCTGTGTGTGGGAGTGTGCATCCAGGACATGTGTGTGTGTGTGCATCTGAGTGAGTGTGAGTGTGCACGTGTATGACTATGCCTGTGTGTGGGAGTGTGAATCCAGGACATGTGTGTGTGCATCTGAGTGTGAGTGTGCACGTGTATGACTATGCCTGTATGTGGGAGTGTGCATCCAGGACATGTGTGTGTGCATCTGAGTGTGAGTGTGCACGTGTATGACTATGCCTGTGTGTGGGAGTGTGCATCCAGGACGTGTGTGTGCATCTGAGTGTGAGTGTGCATGTGTATGACTATGCCTGTGTGTGGGGTGTGGGAGTGTGCATCCAGGACATGTGTGTGTGTGCATCTGAGTGAGTGTGAGTGTGCACGTGTATGACTATGTCTGTGTGTGGGGTGTGGGAGTGTGCATCCAGGACATGTGTGTGTGCATCTGAGTGTGAGTGTGCATGTGTATGACTATGTCTGTGTGTGGGGTGTGGGAGTGTGAATCCAGGACGTGTGTGTGCATCTGAGTGTGAGTGTGCACGTGTATGACTATGCCTGTGTGTGGGAGTGTGCATCCAGGACATGTGTGTGTGCATCTGAGTGAGTGTGAGTGTGCACGTGTATGACTATGCCTGTGTGTGGGAGTGTGAATCCAGGACGTGTGTGTGCATCTGAGTGTGAGTGTGCACGTGTATGACTATGCCTGTGTGTGGGAGTGTGCATCCAGGACATGTGTGTGTGCATCTGAGTGTGAGTGTGCACGTGTATGACTATGCCTGTGTGTGGGAGTGTGCATCCAGGACGTGTGTGTGCATCTGAGTGTGAGTGTGCACGTGTATGACTATGCCTGTGTGTGGGAGTGTGAATCCAGGACGTGTGTGTGCATCTGAGTGTGAGTGTGCACGTGTATGACTATGCCTGTGTGTGGGAGTGTGCATCCAGGACGTGTGTGTGTGTGTGTGAGAGACCGTGAGCAAGCATATCTGAGTAGTGCATGTATATTAGGAGCCCCAGTCTTTTTTTTTTTTTTAAAGATTACTTATTTATTTGAAAGGCAGAGTTACACAGAAAGAGAAGAGGCAGAGAGAGAGAGAGAGAGAGAGTGAGAGAGAGAGTGAGTGAGTCTTCCATCTGCTGGTTCACTCCCCAAATGCCAGCATTGGCTGGAGCTGGGCCGATCTGAAGCCAGGAGCCAGGAGCTTCCTCTGGGTCTCCCACGCGGGTGTAGGAGCCCAAGGACTTGGCCCATCTTCTACTGCTTTCCCAGGCCACAGCAGAGAGCTGGATGGGAAGTGGAGCAGCTGGGACCCGGACTGGTGCCCATGTGGGATGCCGGGACTGGTGCCCATGTGGGATGCCGGCACTGCAGGCGGCAGCTTTACCTGCTACACCACAGCATCGGCCCCAAGCTCCAGTATTTTCAAGGCCATAACATGTGCAAGACACAGCTCTGAAGGGCGCCTGTTCCCCAACTCACAGGGAAACTCGGGCCCTTCCGTGAAGCTTCTGACTCCAAATTCTGTTTCCAGGGCTCCGCAGAGACGAGGCGTGTCCTCGGCGCCTGGCCCAGCAAGCTCGCCTTGGGACTTGCGCGGGACGGCCGGGGAGTGGGCAGCCCTGCGAAGCACCCCTGCAGCTCACCTGCACCACAGGGGGAAGGCGAGAGAACCTTGCCCTAACGACACCACCGGGCTGAGAGTCACAGGGAGACAGCGGGACCAGCACGGGAGTGCGGGGGAAGGCAAGCCCCGCGGGGCCACGCCGCGTGCTGGGTCTCTGACGCTGCAGACGGCCGGGAGCACGGGAACCCGGGCGCGTGGGGTGTTTGCCAGACGCCCGTCTGCTGTCTGCTCTCTGTAGGAATGAAACAGAGCACCACTGGGGAAAAGCAAAATCCTGTGCGCTCAGCGCGCCGAGTGTGGGAGAACAGGAAGGAGGAAGCCGAAGTGCAGTGGGTCCAGTCCGAGAAGATGTCTTCACGTGTCCGCTAAGGCACCAGCAGTGACATGCCTAAAGAACCCTCAGAACGAGACGGGGACAGGGAGGCCGGCTCAGGCGTATTTTATTACTTTTTTATTTTTTAAAGATTTTATTGACTTATTTGAAAGTCAGAGTTACACAGAGAGAGGAAAGGCAGAGAGAGAGAGAGAGGTCTTCCATCCGCTGGTTCACTCCCCACTTGGCTGCAGCGGCCGGAGCTGTGCCGATACCCAGTGCCGACGAGCCCTCGCTCCCACACTCTGCTGATTCCTCCCACGCGGTCTCCCGGAACGACGCGGGCACACAGCCGCTGACGGCAGCCTCCGCCTGCCCCGGTCAGAGTCCGCGCTTCCCCGAGCAGCTCCTCTTCACCGCTCTCGCCCTCTTCTGTTTGGCCGGACTCCCCACTTCTTTGCAAGTCGTAAACTTCTGTTGAAAACGCAGTGTTCTGTCTGCGTCAGACAACACGACAGCTCTGGGAGTGCCCCGCGCGTGGCTGACCGTGATGACTGCTCGGCGACTCCCCTCCTGCTCTTCTGGAAGGGGGCTGTGGCGCAGCGCTGCAGGCTGGGGGTCTGAGGTGGGGGCAGCAGGGCTGTGCCCCTCGGAAGCCTGCTGGGAGCCCCCGTCTCCCAGCCTCCAGGGCTTAGGGACAGGCCCCGGTGCTCCTTGGTAGACACAGCACGGCGCGCTCCGGCTGTGGTCCTGTGGCCTCAGGCACACGTGTTTGTGTGCCTGCGTTCTCCTGTGGAGTCCTCTTCTCACACGGCCCCGTCACTGGATGAAGGCCCTGCCCTGGGCTGGTGACACCT